CCCCCCTTTTATTTTCCATAAGATAAAATCGTTCCCATCCTCCCCGCCAACCCCCCTTCCCTCCCCTTTCCCCCATTATTTCCTTGCTACATAATAATACATATCAATAATCAAATCAAATCAGTAATCAACCGCGTACATACCTAATCAATCACCTTCCCTAACAAAATTTCCAATTACCTACACACAACACCCCACCAACAAGCCACCAACATCTATCAAATCCAGTCCGGAGTCCAGACCACTTCGTTATTAAACCAATTTACCGAGGCTCTATGACTTAGGTATGTACCGCCGCCGCCGTCTCATTCCTTTTACCCGAACCCCACGGGAAAATACTAAATGAATGAAAAAGGACCGGCTCTCGGGAGTATCCGAATCTGAATAATAAGCGTTGAAAGAAAATAGCTGGAAAGGGATAGGTGGGGATGGATTGGATTGAATTGTGGAGTTTTTTTGGGGGGGAGGGGGAGAGGAGAGGAGAAATGGCGGGACGGCGATTTGGATGATGGATGGAGTTGTGATAGGCAGGGAGGGGAGGAGAATAGATGGATTTAAGTACTGAAAAAGGGGAAGCGCGGTCTGTCATGGGAGCTCGACATATGCAGAATCTAAGAAGTAGCCTCTACCCCTGTGCACCCAGGAGGGATTCAAGCAGCAAAGGAATCACCAAGAGCACATCGACAGCAGAAAAACATTCAAACATGAAACCATCCCAAGCGGGGGGTATATATAAATATAAGTCGAGAGGTCTTCTAGAGATGTATCCCAAACCCCGAACCGATCACTGTCCACATACATGCATTCAAATTATACACAACAACAAGAGCAGAACGCTCCCTACATCCAGAAATCCCAGGTCCGCTTCCACCACGGCCAGGTAGCCTTCTCGGCGCGTTCGGCGTCCAGCTCCGCTCGGAAGGCATCGATGTCGAGTTCTCTCCGACCCTCGTCGACTTTCATCTCGCTGGTCCGCACGCCGATCCACCACTGCTTATAGTAAAGCTTGTAGCCCACGAAGAACGCAATCACGATCGGCGCAGCAAGATAAGCCTCAAAGAAGGCCTGCGCGTCGGGACTTCCGCCAATGGGGAACAGAGCGACGTAGAACTGGGCGATGAGGCAGAGGATGTTCAAGAAGAGACCGATCCACGAACCATAGACGCCGAACATGGCGGCGAAAGGCAGGTCGTCAGTCGTACGGCCGGCGCGCTTCCAGGCGCGACGGAAGCGGATGTGCGCCAAACAGATGGAACCCCAAGTGAAGAAGTTGGAGAGGCCGGAAAGAGAAAGAAGCCAGGTGAAGATTTGGCCTCCCTGCTTAGCCTCGTTGATGTATGCGAGGAAGCCGAAGGACAGCGTGAAGATCAGCGCGATGTATGGTCGGCCGTGTTTGTCAATCTTGGCGCCCCATTTGGGACCCATGCCCTTTGAGCATAGAGCTTGGATTGTTCGGGTCGCGGCGAAGGTGCACGAGTTGGCGACGGAGATGACACTGAGTGTAATGACGGCGTTGAAGATTGAGGGCAGACTCTTGATGCCTGCAAGTTGGAACGATAAGACGAAAGGAGAGTAACGGGTGTTTCCACCAGATGCCTGTGAGAGGTTGGGGTTGTCGGATGGCACGATGAGACCAAGGAGGAAGAGTGAGATAACGTAGAACAGACTGATACGCCAGAAGACTTGCTTCGTGGCCTTGGGGACCGTCTTGCGAGGGTTTGCGGCTTCTGCTGCAGCGAGACCAACAAGTTCGGTTCCGCCGAAGGCAAAAGATGCGGTGACGAACACGGAGCAGAACCCCTTGAATCCGTTGCGGAATGCGCCAGGTTCGTGCCAGTAATGCGCTCCTATATAGCCTCTGTGATCGGTTGGCACTCCACCACAATCGATGATAACACCCAAGAGGATGAAACCGATAATGGCAATAACCTTGATCACACCGAGTATAAACTCGACCTCACCGTAGCCTCGGACACCAAAAACGTTGATAAAGAAAATCAGAACTAGGAAGATCGTGATCCAGACCCCGACGTTGATTGATGTGTGCCCAGTGTTATGTGGGTCTGTCCAGAATGCAATGGTGACACCGGCTGTCGTAAGTTCGAAAGGCAATACGACGAGCCAGTTCATGGCATAGTTCCAGCCCATAGCAAACCCCCATGCCGGGTCGATGAAACGCACAGAGTAGTTGAAGAAGGATCCGGCAACAGGGTAGAGGGCTATAGGGTTTAGTATGCGGGTTGAAATAGAGGTCGCGGCTAAGCTTACAAGCAAGTTCTCCAAGCGCGTTGACAGTGACCAAAAGCATAATACCCGTGATGATGAAATCGATAACCAGCGAGGCTGGACCACCCGAGTTCAAGGCACCACCAGAACCAACGAAGAGACCTGCGCCAATTGAACCACCGATGGCAATCATCTGCATATGTCTCCCCTTGAGCTTGCTGTGCAACTTTCCATTGCCCGCCTCATCGACCGAAGACAGCGTCCCAGGGGAGACAGCCTCGACGTCGGCCTCGACATCAGGGTTATACTTCTCATGCGAACCGCCCTCCTCGCTGTAACCCATCTTGATAGGATGCGTTGCCCGAGTCTTGAGAGATCCAAACTTGTGGGCAAAAGAACGACTCTATACCCAGACGCGCGAGGTGGTGTGAGCTGTGGAAGGATATCTCTCTGCTTTCCGGCATGGGACCTGCGCTGCATTAAATATAAGGACAATGCACGCTGCTAATCACCTGCTTCTAGCTCTCTAGTGCCAGATTCCCTAGCGTCGCGCTGGGGCCTGTCAAAAGAAACACTGTACCAAAACTATCAGCATTACTCTGCACGAGTCCACGAGTCTTATCTCTCATGTTGCTATAGGGGCAATTTGAAACCCCATTGAACCTAGGCCCCGGGGTCAAAGCTCCCTGAAGTCTCCGCCAATCCCAACCCATGTACCGTTCCTAAGGCTGCCAGTAGCTGAGTAGCCCCAACTGTAGGACCCACAGATAAGAGTAGCGCCCGCCCATCATGATTTTCCCGCATGTAGCGAATCAGGGACCTTATCAAGAGAGTTGATATCGGTATATAAAAGAGAGATAAACGTCCTGAATAGCTTCACATCAACCGCCAAGAGCCGCGGAAATGATCAAGCTTTCCAGAACATAAACGTCCAAGGAAAAGAGACGGTATAGACTCTGGGCAGGGTCCAAGGGTCCCAGACTCCCAGATACAGCCTGAAGCTTGGCAGCCACTGGAGATGCATGGTGTATGATACACCGAACGGCTGGCAGCTGCTTTTGGGGTAGTACCGAGATATGTGGCGCGATAACAGGTATTGCTGGCATATAATTGGTGTCAGGGACAGGGCCAAGGCAGGAAATATTCTGGAAGCCGACGCTAGCGGTGTTTCCAACCCGGCGGGGCCGGGTGGATATCATACATGCATCCTGCTATTCGTTCGTAGATTTTGTTCATAGACTCGTAGGTGAGGGGGCTGGTTGGAGACTCCAGAGAATGCCAACACTGGGGAAGCATCAGGCCAAATGAGTCTGGCCCTGGGGCCTCTGATTTGCGAGTCAGTGAGACTCGGTCGCCTGCAGCCTGCCGATAGTCCTGCTCTGCGTGACATACGGAGTATAGAAGTAAGACGGAATATCCTGAGAGCAGTACACCTCTGGAAACCCCTACAATTCTACGAGTGGGTGGGCATGGCTACCACGCTGCAAGAGAGCCTGGATGCTGAAATCACTGGAAGCCCATCCCCGACGGACCGACGGTAGGCTCGAAGGATGCAATCAAATCCTGTGAGGCGTAGATGCAGGTCTGATAGAACAGGAAAGGTTCTGGAAGACAAGCCGTGCTTCAGTGCAGGCTGACTGCAAGAGGCGCATCGAGGGCGCGAGTTGCGATAGCATATCCAGGGTAAATCATTGATCCAGGGTGGAGGACTCGAAGTCCAATGTTGAGCATGAAATTCCTAGGGTATACGACACGAGAGCAGGATACGATGCCAAAGGTGAGCTAGAACCTTGCTGGGATCAGACAACTCCAGGGCTGACTTTTTGCCCTCTGTTCGATTCTCCCGGACTTCCGATAGGCCACTATCAATGTAGCTCGCCTCAATCGTGCAAGTCTTCCTCCTCCCTCCTAGAACTTTGTCAGGAGATTTCACGCGTCGAACTCTGGGACAGTCCTGAAGGAAGCCGTTAGTTGTTCCTGATCGTCGATAGCAGACTCGTTGTCTCGTATGGAACTGTAGCACTCATAGCGGCACCGCGTACTCGCTTCGGCCTCTCCTGGGTAGTAGTAGCGATAAGAAGCATCGATCAAGCATCCTTCGGGGCTTCCGCACTGAGGGGAATTATGGCCAATGAGGGGATACTAGCGGGAGATTGCAATCCTTGCAATACAGCCTCTTTGAACATCGTACAGATACATCGTATACGTGGTGAATCTGTGATTCGAAGGCGGCCGGGAGTGTTACGCCAACTGTTGTGTCATTGAATAGCCGTCAGGATTCTGCGCGCTGTACTTTGGTAACGGTCCCAATCAGCCTGTATCCGCAAGAGGGCTGGGCACTGTGTGAATGGTTACATACCTATGCAGTAGGAGGCGGAACTCAGGCTCCACGATACATGCCATGGTACCCGCCGGCTATCTGCGTCTGATAAGAACCCTGACTTTCTCATGGATTACGGGATCAAATTGCGGCTAGCTTCCAGGCGAGTCGGTGGACCGAAGAATGCTGATGTGGGATGATTGATAAGTAATCAAGGAAGAACAATACCTTCTAGTTTGCTACATACCTTAATTCTTTTGGCGAAGGTTGCTTACCTAGGTAGCAACTAAATCGATCCCGAGTCACGTGTAACTGAGTTAAGCTGCCGCGCGATGACCGATCCGGCCCATCCCCATTGCACCGCCATTGCACCAGCCATCGCACCGCCACTCTACGGACACCACGGACTCCATACCTACCCCGCATTCTTTATCATCATCAAGCATTACCTAAGGTAAGGTAAGGTGTAGGTACTAACCTGGTGATTGTGAACGCATAACTCTATCAACTCTCTCTCCTACGCCTGCGCCTACACCTAGGATCAAACAAGATCAATCGGTCAATCAGCTGCATGCTCAAAGCCGCCTCCATCCTCAGTAAATCCCCAACAGGCATCATCATGTCCACCATGAAAGCAATTGTGATGCACGCCCCGGGCGACCCCTCCGTGCTGAAGCTTGAACAGCGCCCGATCCCAACCCCCAAGACTGGGGAAGTATTAATCCAGGTGAAAGCGATCGGTCTCAACCGGTCCGAGCTATTCACGCGTCAGGGCCTCTCGCCCAGCGTCAAGTTTCCCCGCATCTTAGGGATCGAGGCTTCCGGCATCGTTGCTTCTTGTCCCGGGAACGAGTTTCCCGAAGGCGCTGTGGTGGTGACGGCTATGGGGGGTATGGGGAGGGAGTTCGATGGTGGATATGCTGAGTACACTGTTGTACCGGCCAAGAATGTCCAGGCTATCAAGACACAGCTGCCATGGGAGACGATCGGGGCTATGCCGGAGATGTTGCAGACGGCTTGGGGGGCGCTGTTTAAAGCCTTGAAGTTGAACCGGGGGGAGAGGTTTCTGGTTAGAGGAGGCTCGTCGAGTGTCGGGTTGGCAGCTGCGGCGATTGCAAGGAACCATGGGGCGTTCGTGGCGAGCACGACGCGGCGGAAAGACAGGGAAAGCCTGCTAAAGGAAAGCGGTGCGCATGAGGTCATCATAGATGATGGAGCCATTGCAAAGAAGATCACAGAGAAGTTTGATCGGATCTTGGAACTAGTTGGGACCACAACTCTAGAGGACTCTCTCCTATGTGCAAAGGAGGGCGGTAGTGTTTGTATGGCAGGCATGGTGGGTAATCAATGGGAGATGGAGAATTTCAGCCCTATGGGCGCGATCCCAACAGCTGTCAACTTGACAACATATGCCGGTACTTCAGAAGATCTCATTGCTACTCCGCTGGAAGATTTGGCAAAACAGATCAAAGATGGCCGGATGAAGATCCAGATTGGGAAAGTGTTTAAGCTCGATGAGATGGTGGAAGCGCATCGTGTCATGGAGGAAAATACTGCGGGTGGTAAGATTGTGGTGTTGACTTGATACATATAAGAGATCAATTACCTATTCATGTTTCCGCATCCACCATCATCTTTTTACCGTAAATGCGCATATCTGCACCAATAGGCGATCGAGTGATAACTTGCCTCCTAATTAAAGGATCCGTAGCTGTTCCGCTGCTTGATGCGCCGTCCTGATGGCCTTGGCCGAGGGATCTCTACTTGACAAGCTGGCACGTAGATGGATATGTTGGTAGAAGATTATGCTTGGGACAATGTTCGATGGTAGATGGAGCTTCGCCTCGACAATGCCCGGATCTGTCGCTGATAGAGATGTTGCTCGTGAGTTAAGATTCGGGATCCGTCTTATTGAGGTAGAGATAGTTGTCATCATCCCCCTCTTGAAAAATTCATATTGGCCCTCCAGGGGAAACTTCAGCACGCAATGTCCCTTATCTAGTCTTCTATGACTTCTTGTCTCCAGAACATCAGGCACGTAGACATCAATTGAGTCAGAGAGTTTGCACTCATCTTTACGTCTGTATCTCCAGACTTGGAATTGACGTTTTGCAACTGGATGCTGCTGCGAGAGGATCATTGATATGGAGCGCTTTGCGTTCATCTGGAAATGTATCATCCATTTCCCCTTTTCAGTTATTTTAATGATCCCAGTAACTGAATGAGTATTTGCCCCTATTCTTCGAAGAACTTCAAGGAGAGTGGGGGTAGAATCAAATTGCGACGCAAAATTTAAGATTAAAGACGCTACAATCGTAAGTAATTGATCGCTGACTAGATAGAGTTATGTTTCTCCTGTCAATCTGTCTGGCCTCGAGCAGGGAGGTTTTCTAGACCAAGAAAAGAGACTTGCAACTGAATTCGCGTTATAACTCTTGTCGTGAGAAGTAGAACTTATTGTAGTACTTATGTTGGAACTTTTCTATACTCGTAAATGATGAAACATCAAAGAAAATAAGGGGAGATAAGAAAGGTTGGTGTGACTGGCACCTTGACTAAAGGCAAGGGCATTCTTCTATGTAAAAGTCCATCCTCATATTTTCCATCTATCATTATTAATCCAAACGCAAAATTCTGCGGATCAAGGAGGGAAGAACATGCAAGTTCAGATTCTGCGTATCATATTGCGGCACAACATGGCTGTGCAATACGAGTCCTGAGACGATGGCCGCTGGACCAATCACGACGAGCATACGGCACCTTGTCCTTGGTTCGACCTGAAAGAAAGGCAGAGGACGCATGCCTCTACTCCGACGTCAATTGGACGAGGCTCTGAAAGTTGCCGAATTGTCTCAGCCCCAATGAGAGGAAAACCTCCCAACCCATCTTACGCGTATGATACACTTGTATTGGCCAGAAGGGCCTGGAAGCTTAAGTGCTTACTTCTTCCGACATGGAGGAAAAATGAAGAGATCGTGAAAGCCGTGCGGTGTAAGGCTGGGAAGCGACTTTGGTCTAACCCAATGAGGCATGCTCTGCGACATTGAACATCTGTACCCAATACCTTGACTGTGTTGCAAATATCCTACTCAATACATAAGATGGCGCGGCTTCCTGTCACAAAGAAAATGGATTTCAATCAGTCTCAGCCAACTTCTCCTTTGGCCAAAAATCGGCCTCCAACTCGTACATCTCGACCTCAATCATGGGCCGTCTCGTCAAGCTCATTGGATCAGGCATCGGCCTCGCGTCAGAGGCAATCGCAAACTACAAAGCCCCACAAACACTCCCCGAATCAAGAGTCGGCGAAAGCAGCAGAACAGCAGCTGCACGCTCTCCTCGAGACGCGCCGCCGCAATACGTTGAGGTCGCCGACGACCGCGCCGACGAGCTTATCGAAAACGGAAGAGCCGTTCCCGTTGACTCCAAAGAGAAATCCCATCTGAAGTATGAAGATGAGGATGAGGACGATGATGATACGCTTTCGGAAGAAGGAGACGAGGAACAGTGGGATCTAGATGATGCGGTGGAAGAACAAATATCACCCAATTCCGAGGAAGGCCCAGCCCAAGACGCGAATCTCCTCACCGATGCCTTCATGAGGTCCCACCCTCCGCCGCCATATAGAGAGGGTGCTGCAACTGGAAAGTTGCCGTGTCCGGTGATTATACCGCAGCGCAGGCCCAGAGACAATAAGCGTGGTTTCGTGAGAGCTTATGCGCCTGCATTGGCTGAATGTGGCATTGATCAGGATACTTTTTTGGACTTTCTGAAGACGTTTCATGCAGCGAGCAAGTCTTCTCCTTGGCTTCAAGTTGTCAACGTCGCTGCTGCAGGGGCGGGAATGGCACCCTCTGCTATTGCGATGGGTGTTTCTAGTACGTATTCCCTGGACAAATTCTGTTGCCCAATACTTGAAGCATTGGAAGCCCAACAGTATACTTCAAGTCTCCTACTTTTTACACAAGTCTTCTTACTAACTTAATGGGCAGTCGGCGTTCAGGTTTGTGCTGGCATTGCTATGGAAGTGCAAGCCCGTACTCGGTATATCCTTTTCTGGCTTTCCTACTGCAACTACTAATCTCTTTGCCAGAACAAACTCCTTCCTGGACCGTATGAACAACGAATTCTTTAAGCCACATGGCCTCTACTGCCTAATTATGACCTACAAGCCGGAAGCCAGTACTACCCACGCCTCTGTTGATATAACCAAATCCATCAGCTCGTCCATGACACCCGGTTCCTCGGGCATGAGACAAACCCTCAACAATTTACGTCTCTCCTCTGGGACAACCTATGGCGAGCTGGAATTACCAGAAGCTGCTCCCTTAATCTTTCCCGCTCTAGATACTCTTGCAGCATCGACATCTGCTGAAGGAATCCAAAAGAAAAGTAAACTCAAATCCAGTCAGAAGTTCATTGCAGATTATTTCGATCGACGAGCGCAAGCGGAATACGCAAGCCAAAATCCTACGAGTGCGTTAGCCGTTCCTTCAGAGAAGAGATTCGCGTCTCGATATGCGGACCCCACTCACCCTGCAAATAGCGGGAGTTTGATCTCCTTGCTAACTGGAGGAGTGGTGAACCCGGCGGCGAGAAGGGAGATGAGGAGAAGTGCTAGGTGGGATAGGAGGGAGGACAGGAGGGAGAGAAGGGCCGTTAGAAGGGGCCGGGAAATCACGTCGGAAGTGGCGAGGCGGAGACCGAGAGAGGGTATAGTGAGGAGGATATTGAAGAAGGATGTACTGTACTTGATGATTGTGAATTTGCCCTCGGAGGCAGAGTTAGCGACGGGGAGGGCGTTGGTTGCGAATGAAACGGCATATAGGTATTAAGGCGTTTTGATACCATGGATTAGCTATACTGCTTCGATTGCGTTGCGTCAGTAAAACTCGTTTTATGATAGTGTCCAATTCTTGCTTAGTGAGTAGGATCGACTGATTTTCCTGCATATTTAAGGAGGTTTTCTACTACACAATCTCAATTCAGTCAGAAACTTGAGCAACTCAAGGTTTTCTTTGTTGAAAGTACCGGTCTTGGTTACGCTTACCGAGATATGTGCCCGATGCGTCCCCCTATTTTATTGTCCGATTGCGGCTAGTTCGATTTGCCCCAACGTCAAAAAGTGCACTTTGCAACAAAGCGATCTTTGATCCTACAAGGCATCTATCTAAAGTGAGAGTGGGGGAAAGCTCATTAACACAATACTTAGAGCAGGCCAGTTGTTTTATGATAGCTTGAATCTCATGACCGGAGTTCTAGAGTTTGATGAGAGAAAACGTCGTTATCTTGATGCCCATCTATGAAACATGATCTAAGGGCAAAGACAGCATATATGATATACTGTTCTATTGTTGTTCCCTTGCCTATCAATGCAACTTGATGTACCATGCTAACGCCACCGCTCCATTAACTCAAACCAAGGGCTCCATAACCCCTTATAACATACCCCCAAGCCGTCCCCAAAACTCCCCACAAGCCCTCTCAATAACGCATCTGATAACGCTGATGTGCAATCCCCGAATATTCCTTCCCTCCCAGGGGCCCCGCCATGAACCTATTCTCCCTAATCCCATCCTGCTGCACGGTCGCCACCACCAAAACCGCAATGGCCAAGCCCGTCAAAGCGCCCAATCCCACCAGCGACTCCACAAACGTACCATCCCTCCCTAACAAAGTCAAGAAATTACCTAGTAGTTTCAGCGCGCTACACACGGCATAGATCTGTAACAGGAAGTGCAGGATCACGGGCGCGGCGATGGACGTCATCAGACAGCAGAAGATCAGCGATACGAGATGGAGACCGGTGATTGTGGCGTAGGGGATTCTTTCTATCACGAGTGAGAATATGCAGATAAAGAGGATGCCGCTTATGATTAGGGGCGCGAGAAGTGTCGAGGCCCAGAGGTTGAAGAGTGCGGTGAGGGAGGAGATGGGGTCCATCGTAGAGGGTCTTTTTTGGAAGTTGAGTTGAGGTGGGTTGGGGACTTGCGGAGTGAAAGCGAGGGATAAAAGGGAGAGAGGTTGGAGGTGTCTTTGGAGAAATAGATATAGGATCATTGTTTTTTGGGGGATGCTGAAAGCGGAGGGTTTGCACGAAAACGGTGGTTTTTGGTCGGTGGGGAGTTGGGACTTTGTCCTTGTATCAGTCCGCGGATTCTTTGTCTTCATATATAGAGCTGCTCGGAATTTGAGGCAATGATACTTAGTAATAACTAAGGTTTTATTTCATGGTTCCATGTATCTTGCACTGATTCCTTGTAAATCCTAGATCCTGATTTATTCATAAAATTGAGCCAGTATTACCACACTCGTCAGTAATTACCCTTCATACTTGGAGTTATTCCTAACTACATTTTACAACTTTGCTTTTTCAGCCTTGCGACTTAACTTAATTGCCTCTCTGACCCCGAGATCCAATAGAATGTCTTCAGAGCCACCTATTTTTCATTAGCTAAGCCGCATGGCGGATGGAAATACGTTACCTGGTACAATGAGTACATTTGCACCGCGCGAAATAGATTCAATTCTAGCACCTTGCCCAGTTTTGGTCAACCCAAGCCTTTTTCTGTCAGCCAGAACCATGGTAACTTTTTTGGGATACGGATACTGACCCTCCCATGAGTTTCACGCATTCGTCCGCCACGTATTTCCCCACGATGCCTGACTGTACTTTCAGAAGGCCGGTAACACCTCCTAGGAGTTCGGATCCTGTTTCATATGAGCTCTGATCTGGAACGCTAAAAATTGAAATTTTACATACCTTTTTCATGACTTAGATGTTCCAGCTCATAAATTATGCTCTCGATCCAAGCCTGCAACGAATCAACCTGTCTCGCCATATGCCCAAACTTGTTCCTCACAACCGGCTGCTCAATCAGCAACTTCCCAAACGCTTCCCGCTTCTGACACCAAGCCATCGCATCCTGGAGACAAATCCTGATTCCGCTTATTGCCTGAAACGAGATGAAAAGTCGCTCGTGGTTGAAATTAGACATTGTGTATTTGAAGCCCATTCCTTCCTTCCCGACGAGATATTCTACTGGCACTTTCACGTCCTCAAACGTGATATAGGTTGTTGCGCCCATCCCTCCCGCGCCGATTTCAAGCTTGCGGGTTTTGACACCTGGGAGGCGCGGGATAAGAAGCATGGACATTCCGGTTGGTCCGGGACCGCCTGTGCGTACAGCTGTCTATTTAGAATTAGTTATAGAAGTCTATAGAGAACGGGGAATTTAGAGGCAAACCATGAAATAGTCCGCAGGCATGCCGTTGGTTATCCAGTAAAAGGTGGTCAGCAAATAGGTTTCACTCATATTGACAATACAACTTATCTTTTTCTCCCCGTTGACAATGTAATACTTGCCATCTGCTGTCTTCTCAGCTGTCGTTGCGATGTTTTTTACATCTGAGCCTGCAGATGGTTCGGTAATGGCGAGACATATTCGCTTTTCTCCAGTGAGAATTTCCGGAAGCACTCTGTTTATGTTGGAAAAATTGTTCCGTGAGCGATACTAGAGCTACTTACTTGGCTTGTAAAGCGGGAGAAGCAAACATTCTGATCGGAGGAGCACCGACTACCTACACCAATCAAAAAGGGCCCAAGTATCAAATGATATTTGAGATACTTACCAGACCCACAAAAGCATTTGAAACACTGGGCGCTCCGCGAAAGATCTCATCCCACAAAATGAAGTCGTGAAAACCGTCCCATTCTTCAGGTTTCAGCCCAGCAGCAATTGGATACTGAGCCCACTCCTTGGGAATCCGATTTCCAGCAACCATAGGAACAAGTAGTCCATCTCTTGCACACTTTTGGTACACATCATCTGGGATCTTGCCCAACTGTTCCCATTCTTCTGCATGTTCAGCGAAATTCTGATGTGAGTGTCAGACTATGAACACCAAATGGTCTTTCACCGAAGGACCAGGACTTACTTCAGCAACCCATTTTTTAACATAATCGCGAAGCCTGACGTGACTCTCTTTGTAGTATGGAGATGGTCGGCCAGAGTACCTTTAATATGGATGGTCAGAAAGGACGGATGCTGCGGAACGGGGTGGATGGAATTCATTACTTACCAGGCCGGCTCTGCCCATGGCAGGATGCTATTGGGGGATTCGGGCATTATTGTGGAAAGGGGACGGCAAGGAATGAAACCGAGGAGCGTGACTGTCTCGTGCCTGGATGATACACGTGTGAGACGAGTCCTGAACTCTTTTACACTGTTCTGAAGCCGGTTATGTGAGTCGAGGTAGTAGTCGAGCTTATATATGCTGGTCGATAATGAATGCTAAATCCGCCACAGAAGAGCTGGAGAAAGGGGTGCGTTCACACAGAAATGGAGTTGATCTTACCTCGGTCCAAGTCGACAGTGCCCACATTTACCCCGTACCCCGCACCCACTCGGCTTAGACTTGCGGGCGGAGCCAATGATAATTGGGAGGAGGTGCCCCACTTGGACTAGCGGGGCGGAATTGGACCTCCCCGCTCCTCTCCTCGAGTGCTAATAATAGAGCGGAGTTGACTCTCCCTGTGTGAGCGGCGGAACCACGCAGTGCGCTCCTTGGGCGGAATTCCGCCAGAGTGTTCCGGGGTCTTGATGCGGCGGGGCGGCGCCATTCATCTGATACGCCACACCACAGCCTCGCCTCCCCCTTTGCCAGATTCCTCCAGGACACCAATAACCACTCCCACAGGATCATTCAAACAGGAATGACTTTTACGACGGATTTCGAACCGCCTTCCTACTTCTGAACGTATGAAGATTCAAGTCGGATTCAGGTCAATACTTGACGCTCAATGTTTAGTCAGACCAGAGCGTCTGGAGCCGAGATCCTTCACAGTCCATGGTGTCCTCTAGTTGCAGGATGGGTAGCTGGAAGAGATCCAATATGTATCGTGGAAGTCCAAGGTGCTTTGCACGAGAGGTTTCAGACCTCTTTGTACCTAAGCAGATGCGAAGAACCCGTTCGAGGACGGCTATCATGATTCGGCACGACAATGTCCTCCCACCCTGCCATGGCGGAGAACTCAAGTCCGCAAATTCCTCGGAAGTCTTCGCGGCGATTGCGAACGACAATTCCAAGGAGACCTGTGGGCGACCGCCGGACATTCCTTGCAGGTATACCCGCAGGAAATCATCTCCAAACAGATTTCCCGGATGATAATCATGAGAGCGTATCACCAGTATCGCAACTCTCGTCAGACTTCAGAACTCCCATTGACCGTGTGGTGAGCTCTTATTTTGTATCTGAGGAGAGTTATTCTACTTACGATGCGTCAAATGACGCTGGGATGAACCCTCTTCCTTTCATGGATCTCAATACCAACGCGGCAGAAATGGGAATGGAAATAAACCATATGATTGATGAAGTCGTGACGGAATATTCTAGTAGAGCGAGCAGCCAGCATCATGCAGACGGACTTAGGTCTAATCCGCATCAAGGCAGCATGTACGTCGGAAACGACATTGGGGAGCAAGCAGTGCCTTTTTGGGGAATCAGTGCGGAAGAAGCAGCATTTCAAACAAGCTCCATACTTACACATCAGGAGGCATCTGTCACGCAGGGCTCGGAACAGAGTATAGAAGAGCGAAGGCGGGAGGAGAGAACAACTCAACCGTGGTTGGAGCAACCGGGTCTGGAACCGAGTACAAGACCAAGAGGTGCCGGTCGAATGTGCGAATGGCTTCCGATTGCATTGAGATGGTGGTTCATGGCGTCTCTATTCCTCGTATCCCTTGGCCTTGGGCTTGCAGCAATATTCTTGACTCTCTATTCACACAACCATCAGGGGCTCGGAATAGATCATAACACGTCAACATTTCTATTCACCTGGAAATTCATACCTACTCTAGCTGCGGTCGTATACAGCTTGCTCGTTATGACTACGATCAACGACATAAAACGAACCGAACCATACGCCAGACTCTCGAGGCCCGGTGGGGCACCTGCAGCATCCACTCTCTTCCTCAAGTCAGGGTCGATGTGGTCTGACATTTTCACTACTCTCAGGAAAAGCAAGAATGGCGGTGCCCGGAATTGGGCATTATTCTGGGCATCATTTGTCAACATATTAACCATCTTGATTGTTGTGCCATTTTCAGCTGCGTTCATCTTCCCTGCAAATATTCTCGTCAAGAACACTACCACTTTCTCGCAACTCGCGGCATCTGTTGATAGCCCCATGGAGCTTTCTACTGATGAATCAATCTTCATTCGAACGATCTCTAGTGTGCTACTGAACACTACCACGAGTGCTTGGGTGAGCAATGACTATGCTGTCCTGCCTTTTTGGCCGTCTAATGAGAACGCCGTACCTCTTGGGGGAGTTGTGTCGAGCTCTTCATTACAGTGGACCGCCAACACAACGGTGTATCAAACTGATTTGAAGTGCAGTCCTATGGGCCTCCGATCCTTTGCGAACTTTACTCTAAATCAAAGTCTTGCACACCTACCAGGCATTACCATGTTTTCCGATGTGAACCTAACATCCTTCATACTCGAATCAGCGGATGGATGCTCTCTTGGCCTTGCTGGGTTCCCACCCGATTTCAGCTCTAATACAATTTTCAAGACGGGGGGTGGGTGGTGGTCTGGTGCACCCAACTTCAGCTACCCATTGCTTTGGGCACCTGGCAACGGTACAGCAATGGATCTTAATTTTGATCACCCCATCATGTTGAACGCTAGCACTCAATGCGGTAGACGAAGCATGTACTTTTTCGCTACGCCCTACATAGAGAGTCAGACCTTCCAGGCTCAAGGGCAAATATGTACCTCTAGCTACTTCTCCGCCAGCCTTCCAGTTACAGTCTCGAATATCGGCGCTTCGTCTACTGTCACATTTGACACGCAGGAGTTTGAAAACATAAGGGTTCCTATTTCTCCAACCACCATGGACATCCATACTTTCGAAAATGCCTTTTTGAGCCAGAACTGGTCTTCCAAATTACGATCTCCCGATTCAAGTTCAAACCCTGATTTGCCCCCGAGGCCCAGACTTGGTGGACCACTCAACCTTCTGGGTGCCCAGAATAACTTTGATCTCCAATCAATGCTTGCGAATGCAGACTTGACTGATCAAGCACGTCAAATCAAACAGAGATTCCTTGGCGAAAGCATGATGTCAACCTTCCGTCAGATTGGCACCCAGCAAGCGAAGCCTATAATTGGAACCACATTTGTCAGTGAGAGGAGAATCGTGGTCAGTTCTGTGGTTGGAATAATCCTGACAGCTGCATTGCTCTTGTCGGCTTTGATGATCCTGTTAGTGGCATTTTACACTCGTCACCACAAGAGACCACTCAACCTGCTCCAGGATCCCGCATCCCCAATGGCAATGGCCTCATTGATAAGTTCAAATCCTAATATAAAAGCTCTTTTCGAAGGCGCGGATTGGTATTGCGAATACGCTATGCAACAAAAACTTGCCGATCATGTCTTCTATCTCAGGAACGGTGAGCTGTATGCGTCCGACATGAAAGATACTTATCAACAATCCTGTAAGTCTCAAGAACTACAGAGAGGTGGCAGCAATCACTAATACCTCTTCAGCCAGCATAGACTCAGAAGTCATATCATCAGCGACATACGATTGGTGTCCCAATTTCCTTCGCCGGAGGATTCTCGGCCTCCAGCTGAGCGCACTGCTTATTATAACTGCTACCTTGGCAGTATTCTTTGCTTTTTTCCGCGGACCAGGGATCTCCCAATCGTTACTAGTTCCAAAACTGAACGTAAATGATAGATCAGTCACAGCTCTTGCCCCATATTCCATCATTCCTACCTTGATTGCTCTCGGTTTTAACTTATACTGGGCCTCTATGGATGCTACTTTCAGGAGACTTCAGTTATACGTGTCTATGACTCGGAAGGCCATACCAAGTTCAAGAGTAGCATCTTCAACCTATTTAAATATTCCGCTTCTGTGGACCGTAGCAAAGGCAGCCGCGAATCGTGATTTACTTTTGTCTGTAGTCGCTGCTGGTGCGGTTCTCACCCAAATCGGTGAGTACATCCACAAAATTAGGAGCCTTGTGTTAACGACTTTATCTCAGTCACGGTTGCCATGTGTGGTCTATGGGAACAAAACTCAGGCTTCCGAACGTATAATGCCAACGTATCGAGGATTATGGAGTTTAGGACCGTACCAGCAATCTTCGCTGTGCCCGCTGTATCGCCTCACTTGGCATCTATGGACGTTGAAACAGTCAACTCTGAAGGAGTGCTAGCCAATGTCTTTGACAATCGGCTCGCTTCTTGGCTATATTCTTCGGTAGACCAAGGCGTATATAACTCAACCCCTCCTACCTGGACAAGCCAAGAGTGGAGCTTCACTCCTCTCAACCTGACATCCATTTATGCTCCTTCTGAAAATGGGATCAAGAATAACGCCACAGTCGAAACCCCTTCTTTGCGGGGCAGGCTTGAATGCACACCAATTGATATGTCCAACACTTCGGCTTGGCTCACAACCTTAGACTTCAGAAACAAAACGGCTTGGAACGATCCAAAAATACCAGCAAATCTCACAGTTGGCTATGAATTAAAGCTTGGCCTATCGATGAACGAATCAGTGGAAGGCTATTCTAGGTATTGGGGTGACAATAACCCATACTTCAGCTTTTTTTCAGAGGATTACCACTTACAGTGCTGCGGCAATGAGATGAATAGTACCCAAGAGGCTGCAATTGGATATTGGTCTCGCGCGGCCGATGCTCCACACACAAGTATTGTTGTGAAATGGATAACAGGCAATCCCTTTCCCCACCAATTCAAGGACTCAACACTGCAAAACCAAAGGATCCTAGACGAGGGGTCTGGTTCACATCTTCACTGGGTGTGGAAAGATATACCGAAAGTCACTGCCTTGAACTGCACCCCTGTTTTCGAAACTGCAAATGCAAAAGTAACTGTCGATCTCGCGACTGGAACCGTCCAGAACTACACCATTTTAGATACTCCGGTGGAGGACAAAATGGCATGGGCAAGCCAGTACCAGAGTCTCAACGTTTCAACTGGTGTCCCATATTCGAGTAGTCCTATTGCCTCGGGCTTCCAAGTCAAACCCGGAGTCTTTCTCAACAACGTAACTGTGAGGTGCGTATTTTACCCTTAGCTCTGGAGACTAACTATGCTAACACAAAAAAAGCTACGGTTATCTTATACATGATATTCTTCTTGGCGCTGCCAATGCAGCTCGCACTGGAATCCGTCCACAAGGTTCCTCTGTGCTTGCTGAAAATCTCGCTGACCAAACGTACAACTTCCGCCTTCCGGGCCTCAACACAGACTTCATGTCCTATACCTCCCTAGCCCTTGCTGGCAACAACAGGTCCGCACTTCTCGACCACAACACGCTAGGAAACATATCCAGCACCGTATTTTCTTTGTTTTTCAAGAATTTTGTCCAGTCAAATGTAAGGCCAAATGACGCGCTGTTCATGAATGGTACATGGGGATTACAACCGCGAGGGGAAGTGATCCCATCTGATCTTGGACCTACGCTCGCTTCGAATTCCACTGCATTCTTGCAAAATTCTTTCCAGTTTTCGAAAACAAACCCGATATCTCAAGCTATCATTTCGACAGAAATATTGAAATTAGAGATGAATCCTGCGGTAGTGATTATCTGCCTCTGCATCTCGTCTCTCCTAGCAGTGTTCACCATCGTGATCATGGTATTTCATAGACGGTATATGAGCGCTTTGCCAAGGAACGTCGAGACCCTCGGCAGCGTTCTGGGGTTTTTGTATGGCAGCGAGAGACTATTGAAAGTGGCGGATGACAGTGTAGGCTCGTGGGATAAGAGGGCACACGGGGAGATGGTACAGATAGGTTGGTTTGATGCAGGTGGGAAGAGAAGATGGGGTATTGAGATTGTGAGACCTGGCGATCAATTCTTTAAGGAGTATCTTGGTGAGGATAAAGGCTCCCGGGAGGTCAGATTGGCCGATGACCATGAGAGATATGATAATCTATGGGACGTTGGCTAGGCCGGATGTATAGAGTTGTAATATTGATCGGTTTCTTTGTAAATGCTGTGGGCCATCCGTTAACGTATATAGAAAAGGACCACCACAGCAAACCTTCAGAATTCTCTCCGTAAGCTACCCCTGTGCGTCTGTCATCCTGTGTAGCATCTACTGACGATTCTCTTTCAGCAGGAAACCATGCCAGTACGTATCCAAACTAGACTCTGCATACATCTTCTTTGAACAAATTGATCCTACCGCACATGTCCAATAGCAATGTCTAGGCCATCTTGCGTTTAACTATCGACTCACGGTTTGCAACCTGGCATGCAATTGAGGGTTAGGCAGGGGAGGGCCGGAAGGCACATACCCGTAATCCATCAGCAGCTCTGCCACCACACACCATCCACGCCATCCCATACTATCCCCTACCGTCCCGTGTTCCTAGGATCCCTGCCACTGTCGACACTTCACAATGACTGCGGATATTGTAGGAGAGGCAGCTAACACTTTGTATAGAGTTGCGAGACAAACCGCCGATGGGAACCCAGGCAGGTGTATGTATTCCCTACATCCATTTTGATCGTCCCACAGGCTAATGTACTTTGCCCTAGCCGGGGACGTCATATTCTTAGAGACCCTGAAGTAATAATACTAATAGTATCTTGAGATCACTGCTAATCTTATATGTTAGGCAACAAGACGTCTTTTGCAGGAAATGGTAAGTCTATAACATCACTACCCTTGTCTTCTTGTCACATCTCTCTCTTTTGTCGACCGTGAAGCATTTTTCTGAGCTCGAAAGGCTTCAAAAGCCGTGCATATAAGGTCCTAAACTTCAATGACTGTTCACTGAATGGAAGTTGGATAGTGCTAATATTGAATCCATGTAGTACGATGCTAAGATAGAGGAGGAAGAGGCGAATCCTGGTCCCGATGATTGGGATGGATATCATGATACGGTATGTCATATGCTCATGTCAATATGCTGAAGCTCTGGGAGTTGTTGATGCCTGGTTACTCCCGAGACAGCTCCCGAACCCATTGCCTTCCTGTCTATTATCATACTACTATTATCATACTAATAAACTTATAGGATGAGGATGATAAGCACTTGGCTGCGGAATGGGCCCAATTCATTTTCGGTATTGTCTGGGCCGTATTCACTTCCCGAATCATTCGGAGACGTTTTTGTATGCATTCCAAATGCTCAGAATCAAAGTCATTGTCATTTTCAACAGTCATTGTCATTTTCAACAGCCATTGCCATTCCAACAGTCATTGTCAATTAATATTCACTCTGTACCTCTTTACTACCAAGATTATTTGCAAAGAAGTATGTATCATAGCACGTAAAGTGTGCCTCAAACCTGATCTGGTCATCGATGGAAGGCTGGGCGTCACTACCGCCATCAACGCAACGAAACCACCAGATAAAGCTCTTGAAGTTGAGGATGAGTGATTGAGTCTGGCTCGTTTATCCTGTGGCTGGGTACTACGTAATTAATCTAAAGATACGACGTTAAAACCCAGATTGATTGATTACTTTTCCACACATCTAGTCAGTTGTTGATATATTCTTATGGGCAGGGCTCTTGTAGTTGAGATTATGGATGGATTGTGATATAGTTGATTATTCACGATAAATTAAGATAATAGTCTGCAAGCATATAAAATAGCATACCGAGCCTACCTAGTGACAAAACCATTATTTCTTGCCAACATCCAGCCAGGTCCTACATTCCTTCTGCTCAAAAGCCTAGATATGTAGCACATCTTTATGAGCAGTGATATATGCACAACTCTCATTCCTAAACGTATCCGGCAGCAGGGAATTCGTCAAGGCTTTTAAATGCAGCAACTCCTGTCCCTCGCTCCACTGCGGCCACTCAATCTCGCCCACCGTCCCCTCGTTCGGATCCATGGTATTAATAAAGCTGATATAATATGATTGAATAGTGTGAGCCGGGATGCCAGGCGTGAGACCATATATCGCCAGCAAATCGGAGCCGTGAAAAGTTCCGAGGAACGGTATGACATTATCGTAAGATGCGAGGTAGGACCATGAGGGTACGTCGGGGGAGACTTTGCTGGCGATGTTGAGGAAGACACGGCGTGTTAAAGTAAAAGTTAGGTCTCCGAGAATGGCAGCCAGGCGTTTGAATTGTGGGTAGAGCTCGTATAGCGGGCCTGTGTTGAATGGTGAGCCGGCGGAGGGATCGTCGGGGTATGTGGCGACAAGGTCTTCGAGTTGCTCTATGCTCGCGTCATGGAAGAAGATTGTGCTGAGATAGTTAACTAAATCTTCCGTGGTTGAGATGTTGGATTGTAGGAGTGAGAACAGAGTTCCCTCGTCTTCTTGGTCGCCGACGATGAAGGGAACCTTAGCATATTGCCCATTCTCGACCAGGATATCTGGGGAGTCGGTCATGACAACTCCGTCAGGGCGAGGAAGATAGGAGAGAGCAACCGAGTTGTAACCAACTATTCCAGGCACAGAATTCGCGGCGTTGAGAAATGTGGTGTAGTCGATTCTGCGAAGACATTCGAGAGTATCTGATGCACCGGAGCATCCAGCCGCGGAAACAACTTGGTCGTATACCACTTGGCCTTTGGGACAGTCCACCGGGTCGGCAGGAATAACACTTCCGCTATCCATGATTCCTGCCCGGAAAAGTGGTTTGCCTTTATACGTATTGTTGCCATTGTACAAGATCATTTGGTCCAGCACTGAGATTGATCCAGCAGATTCTCCCCAGATGGTGACCTTCGATGGATCACCTCCAAATTGAGCGATATTGTCGGCTACCCATTGTAGACCGAGACGTTGGTCTAACAGGCCGAGATTTGCTGCTCCGTCCTTGAGGATCTCCGCACCTGGCATAAAGCCAAATCCACCTACCCGATAATTCACAGCGACATAGATAATATCTTTTCCTTGCGCAACAGAAGTCGAGATCAATCCGGTACCATCGTAAATCTGGGTAGACCCAAGTTCAAACCCCCCTCCAAATATCCAGAAAACGACCGGTAACTTGGAGTCTGCATTCGCCGATGACGGTCTTTGGACGTTGATTGTGAGGCAATCCTCCCCGGCATCAGTCACAGTCTGGAAGAACTGATCGTTCAGCAGTTCCCCAACAACGTTCTCAGGAAGGTTGCCCGTGTTGGTCCCAATAAGCATTTGTGGGCATCCTCGAGGTATACCTGTAGCCTGCACAGTCCCGAGATGGGTAGTAATGGGCTGGGGTGGTTTCAGTCGTAATGGGCCAATTGGAGGCTCTGCGTATGGGATTCCTTTGAACGAGTCAACGCCGAGAAGACTAGACCCGACGACGGTAGCATATTCAAGCTCGACAGTTGGAGTACCTCGCCTCTCATGGGCTGGGGCAGCAACTGCGAGAGGGATAAGGCAAACAGCAAGACCGATAGAAGACCACATTCTGCTAAGGAAACCTGTTCAAGATTGTCAAGAGCGGGGACGAGACACGCGCTTCTCTGTCTGGGGGCTCTTGCACTATGAAGACCTAGGAAGCCGTGTGGACTTCATGTATGGGGATTCCTAGGTCTCATTTTATACTTTACGGAACGTTGGAGTTTATTTCCAACATGATGGCGACCTCGTGGACATCAGACCGACTTCACGAAATGCCGTCCCCTGTAGACCTTGTGCAGGGGTGAACAGAAGCAGGAACAAGGGTTGAAAGAGAAAACCATACGATAACAGTAGAAATTGTCGAATCGGAGGCAATATTTCTCAGCATTCTCGGGGGTTTTGCCGGAAGAAATTTGAAGAAGGAACTTTCCGCCTCGATATTCCCCCAGAGTCCCCAGAGTCCCCACAATGTGTCTAATTAAGCTTGTTGCTTTTCCCCAAGGGGTTCCTTGTCCAGCCATTTCCCCCGCAATCTTTCGGATTTTTCGGGAATACTTCGTAAATCATATCCCACTTCTGGACATCACTAAAAGATCGACGAGAGGTATCCGAGGTTTGGAGATGCTAATTTGCCCGTATATTACATGTGAACTGTTGGGGAACTGCCGAAATGCCCCATCTGAGCCGCATCATTCTTGATGCTACCTGACTAGTTGCTGTATCTTTATACAATGGATATTATTGAATGAGAGTTATTCTGCTTCGCGACCTGACAATTATTATTTTTGATCGTACTAAAAATCCTGGAGCCTTCAACAATTTGTCCGGTCTACTGCTACCTTGAGCAGTGTAGTTGGTTTTACCCTGCGATCTTGGACAACCGTCTATTGCTTCAGAGTTCTAATTGTACTCCTCACAGCCACTATGCTTTGATAGGAGTTTTGACAGGTACGTGTACCATCCACTGCAGAATTTCATAAATTATCTCAGAAATTGCGATTCCCGTTGTCTCCGCGGCATTATCATATACCGGAGTGAACTCGACGACGTCAGAGCCAATAATTTTCAACCCCGCATTCGATAAGCCGTTGATAATTTGTAGAAGCTAAAGAAAAATATCAGTCTCGGTCACACGTGAAAGGACGATTTTAACTGACCTCTCTAGTCGTCCACCCACCTGGTTCAATCGTGCCGGTTGCTGGAGCGAATGCGGGGTCCAGAACGTCTATATCGATGCTCAGATAGACATACTCGTCACCCACTGTATCAACAATCTGCTCAACAACCTTATCTACACCAAGTCTGTCGAGTTCGCGTGCCCGAATGTAACTGAATCCACAGCGAAGGTCGTTGTCCAAGTCAAAGTGCTCATCGAAGAGCATGCAGCGTGATCCGAGATGCATATTGCTATGATTTGACAAGAGCCCCTCTTCGTGTGCGATATGAAGCATAGTTCCATGGTTGACCTCGGAATACTTGGTCAACCCACCTCCGAGCTGTTTTGGATCCCATGTGTCAAGGTGACTGTCAAAATGTAGAACGGCGACTCGTCCCCATGTTGAGTGGAGCGCACGGAGAATCGGAAGAGCTGTAGAAACGGTTAAAAACATTTCAACGAACCTTGAATTAAGATAATAGCTCACTTATGGTATGATCTCCACCAATCGTAATAAGTCTCACAGCATCTGCCACAGACTCGTTCTTCGGCTTTAACTCGTTCATGGCCTTCATTCCATTCTCGAGCTCGTGAATTGCAATCAACTTGTCAAATGGCGAATTCCAAATATCACCACAGTCTACAACCGTAGCCCACTCACGGAAAGGGTTGATTCCATGATCCATGCTGCTTACTATTAGCATCTTTCTGTCTGATGAATCACGTGACTGACCTCCATCCGGCGGCTGGTGCCAACCTTCGAGCTCCTAGACGGGCTCCATTAGGTCCAAATCTTGCCCCAGGCCTGTAGGATACACCTAAATCAAAAGGATGTCCCACAATTCCGATATCGAACGTCCCATTGTTCTCGGGTTTTGTGCAATCGGTAAAGGGGAGGTGTGCAAATGTTGCGGACTCCGATTGATCGTTGCCATTGGAGTCGCGAGCTCTATACAAAGGAGTTAGGATTACTGTATCTGGTACAGAATTGATGTCCAAATCCTTGCGGCCGAAAATTGAAGAATGAATAAAGTTTGAGGGCCCGTCATGATGGCCAAGGACTCGCTGAGGCCCGGCCGCTGAAACTGCGGAGCTGCTCAATGCCAACAATGGCAAAAGATAGGCGATCATCGTAAGAGAGTAGAGGAGCAGAATCAGAAAACAAAGAGAGGGAATCAATATGTGTACATGGCTTTGTTTACATATATAAGGCAAAATGTCCAAGAGATTGCTCTCACGGATTTCCGTATGTCAGTACCTTATCAATTATCCAAGGGTGGGTTTGCCACTAGCCTCTCTTGGAAGGTCCAGCCGGGCAGGAAACGGGACGTCTTTCGCGCAAAAACAAATGAATATAACTTCATCTTTCACTCCCACCTGTTGCCCATCTTCTCGCATCGCCGTGCTCTCCTGTGTAATGAAGATCCCGTTGTTGCCTCAATGCGACGACACCCTTCGGGAAGATGCAGAATCTGGTAGGACAGGTCTCGCTGGAACACTCCACGGTCCACCCTTGCTGCGTGAGATTTGGGGGCCGTCTGCCAATTCCTCGAGACAGCTCACATTGAAATGTCTTTTCTTACTGGGCAAGGGTGCGAAAACCCTCCAATACTTGCCTCCAATCATCCCATCATAGCGTTATACTCAGTGTGATGTGGCAGCCTCCTATGAGGCTTCAGTTGTTTTCCCTTCGCTCTTCTTCTCTTCTCCCTCTTTTTTTCTCCTCTCATTACTCCCTTTCCTTGTCTTTGATCCGTGGCAGGTACCCTGCCACTGCCTATTCGTTTTTGCTGTCCTACATGAACCGCCTCAAAGGACTGGATGGCGACGAGATGGATTCCGGGACCACCAGCTCTGATAGCTCCTCTAACTCCTCTCAGGACAGTCGCGGAGATCCCAAAAATGGCGCCATTCTCTACGTGCCAGCTCTTTTTGCGAAGAAGAAGAAGCACCAATCTCCGCAAGAAGCTATACACAAGTTTCGGAGCAAGTTCAACAGCACAACACTGGCAGAGTTATGAGGCTTCCAGCTGGGTCTCTTTGGCTCTAATCTGAATATCTCCTCTATCCTCCCGAAAGACAAACTAAGGATAGCTTGGGAGCGCGGCACTTTGCCCAAGGACTTCTCAGACAGAAGTCTGAGTTATGAAATATCGATTTCATCTCGGGTGTTCTGCCCAAGACAAAGTCACATTTTACTGCTCATTTTATGTATATGACTTGGATACTGATTTTGGAACCTTTTAGAATTCCAAACACATCGGAGAGAAAGTTCCCAGATATCCTAGTAGAGCGAGAAATGCAGTAGCATCCTATGCAGAAGCGGCAGCAATCTGCAAAGTTGAAGTCGAGAAAATCGTGAAAGAATCCCGACGAGTCAACCAAAAATATCGCGATCCCTATCTCGACATCGAATTTGACCTAAAATGTGGTACAAAAGACTGCCTTACAATGCTGGTGGCTCGGCCACTGCAGTCTCTTCCTTCAAGCCAGGCTCCGTCAAAAGGGTAGGAGATATATTTGATGAACCAGAGTTTTATAAGAGTGGTGCAACAGCCAATGATATTCGTCAAGGCAAAGACGGCGATTGCTGGCTCAAGGCCGCCCTTTGCACATTGGGGAACAAGCCAGGTCTTATTGAGGATGTCTGTGTAGCAAGAGATGAGGAAGTTGGCGTTTATGGAATCGTCTTCTTTCGTGATGGAGAGTGGATATCCGAAATCATTAAAGCTATACTTGACGAAGCCTGATTACGATGAGAGCTGGATTGAACGCAACCTCATTGAAGACCGTAAGAGAATCAACTCGGAGGAAGATTATCGAAGGATCTACCAGGTAGGTGGATGTCTACCCCGAGGTTATCATCTGCTGACGCAAGCAGACCGGCTCTGGTTCGTTGTACTTCGCTCAATGTGAGGATCCAAACGAGACGTGGCTGCCATTGTTGGAAAAGGCATATGCCAAGGCTCATGGTGTGAGAAATCAAAGACCTTCTGACATGACTGGAGTTGACTAGCATAGGACTACGCTGCGATTGAAGGAGGTTTTACAGGCGAGGGACTTGAGGACCTCACAGGAGCCGTCACGACCGGAATTTCCAGTACTGATATCCTCGATAAGGAGTACTTCTGGAGGGAGGAGCTGTCGAAAGTTACCAAGGAATTTCTTTTTGGTTGTGGAATGGGTCTCTTTTGGGGCCGTGGAGAACGAAAAGGGATCGTGGAGGGCCACGCGTATTCCATCATGAGAGCTGTTGAAATGGATGGAAAGAGACTTTGTCTGTTGAGGAATCCATGGGGCGCGTATGAGTGGAATGGGTCATGGAGTAGGTTGCTCCAAATTGCCTGGTGGAAAAACCATATTGACGTTATCTACCTGGTAGGTGATGGAAGCAAAGAATGGACGCCAGACTGGATGCAGAAACTCGAGCATCGTTTCGGTGACAATAGTACCTTCTGGATGTCGTACGAAGATCTATTAAAGAAGTATCAGACATTTGACCGTACATGATTGTTTGGCGATGACTGGAAGGTCACTTAGCAACGGACTTCCTTGACTGTGCCATGGACTACAGATTACCACAGCACCAAATTTTATTTCACACTTGAGAAGAAAGCACCTGTTGAGGCTGTTGTGCTTGTTCTATCACAGGTAAGCTCGCCAGACTTATACACGATACAAAATTCTTACACTATCCAGCTTGATAGCCGTTATTTTTGTGGTCTTGAAGGCCAATATAGCTTTCAATTATCTTTCCGTGTCCACAAAGCCGGAGAGGAAGATTACATTGTCCAAAGCCACGGAAACTATAGCATGCGAAGATCTGTTACGGTCGAACTCGAACTTGAGCCTGGCGAGTACCACGTCCTGATGAGGGTTGAGGCAGAGAAGAATGATCATGCGTTTCCCGTCGAGCAGGCTCTACGTAACAATGTCAAAGCTCGCAGAAACAAATTGCTTCGAATTGGTCTGGCATATGATTTGGCATATGCTAAGGGGCAGATTAAGGAGACTGACGAAGAGAGGAAAGTTCGCAAGGAGTTGGAAGCTAAGAAGAAATCGCAAGAGAGGAAGGAAATGAAGGATAAGTTGATGAAGGAGAAGAAGAGACGGAAGCATGTTGAAACAAGGAGACTCGTAAGACGAGAGAGGCAACCGCGAAACGCAAAGCGAAGGCCAAGGCTAGAGAGGAGAAGAAAATAGCGGAAGAGAAGGAGGAGAAGGAGGAGAACGAAAAGCAAAAGAAGGAGCCAGAGAAGGTGAAAGAGAAGGGTTGAGATGCCACGAAAACAGATTCTCCCGAGAAAGTGGCTGGTCCAGAAACAGGGCACGAAGAAAAATTGCTTGACAATTCAACAAACACAAAGCCTATCGTTCCAAATGAGTTTGAGACTTCACTGACACCAGCTGTTCAGGAAAGCAAACCAGCCTCCACAGTCACTCAATTTCAGGTTTCAACTTCTGTAATAACAGCTTTATATTAGAATTATTGAGAATAAAAACCAGTTAGATTAACCAAATAGTAAACTAAAAGTATCCAAGAGTGGGATTTAAAGGTTATAAAGCGAGTTCTGCTTTAACAAAGGCGCTAGTATTCTCTGAACACACATACCTACGACCGATTGACAACGTCGTTCACGGCAAATACGCATGTTCTTATAAGATCCTAAATAGCTTTCAGTCTAGTATTTAAAAAGTCTAACTACTTGACTAGAGGTCTGTATATCGAGAGTATTGGCCGATAACTAATGAGGTTAAGGAAGAGGAGTAGAAAATTCGGGGATTAGCCATATTACCTTAGGCCCAGCTCTATAAACATAGGCTATATAAATATAGACCTGAGTATATTGACTTACGCGCATTTTTACTAATATGAGTCTTCTTCTTTCCTCTTTAACTTAGTATTTTTGATGATAGCAGCCTTTGTGTCAGGGCATCGACAGGTGCCCCTCGCATATCATGTATATAATAGCACATTTTGAGAAGCTTTAATGGAAATACTGAACGCATACGCCAAGGAAACAGTTATACTTGTCGTTAAAGCACCTCGACGATATTAGACAACGTCTGGATTTAGTAAAGGCTATTCAAACAGACAACTCGGGTTTTCGGCGAGCACCTATCCTGTGGCAGCAGGCTTAATGGACAAGCAAGACTTTGCGGCATCTATGATCGCGGAAGAGCAAAGCAGCTTCGGAAAATCAGCACACAGAAATGTTGAGACTGGAGTTACTTATTGTCAAAGTGATTTTCGTTGCCATTGTCATTACCATCCTTTGATATTGACAATAGACGTATGAGTGATAGTGACAAAATATTCACTTGAGCACCCCCAACTATAATCTAATTCATACAACAGACAGCGATGACAAGTCTAAAAAGTTCAGAGCTAGTTGACGTCCCACAAAGAGTGAGCGGGGTGTTTGTTGGTAAAGGTGTTGTTGGTAAAGGTGTTGTTGGTAAAGGTGTTGTTGGTAAAGGTGTTGTTGGTAAAGGTGTTGTTGGTAAAGGTGTTGTTGGTAAAGGTGTTGTTGGTAAAGGTGTTGTTGGTAAAGGTGTGGATTGATTCGTTGATGTATCTAGGAGGTGCTATGTAGTATCAGTCGCCCAACCCCACCCCGCTCCCCCTTTCTCCTCTCCTCCTCCTTTATATGACGATATCTTTAGGGCCTGAGAGGCTGCTGAATACCGGCGCTTACGAGCCCAGGCCCAGCAATCTGGCGAGCTATCCAGGAGCATTCATATATTGAGGATAACAAGACGACTCTTGGCTTAAGCATGCTAAGTAGCCGCGCCTCTTTCAGCACCAGCCGCTAGACATTATCACAGCTTCGGTTCAAAAACCTAGTATGTTTGACGAGGACTACTACCTCAGGAGTTGTCGTGGGGTACCTGTCATTAGCCCTGCCATTGACGAGGCTAAGTTCCGGATCTTGATGAAGGCTGTGGATTAGATATCGCAGTGGCCTGAAGCTATCATGGCTTGTACATCTTACCGGCGTTGTCGCTGGCTGAATACCTGTTCGAAGGATACCTTCGGCAATTACGCTTTTCATGCTTTCAAAACCTAGAAGAGGTATCTGTCAGGCTAATATTTTCTTTATTCTACTTCGGGTATCCGGGGCTCGACACTTCTAAATCATTGATATTCTATTTGCTCAACACAGACAAACCAAAGTCAAGATTTCTTCAACCTTGTCAAAAGCTCGAAAATTTTTCAAACATTGTCACATTGATATCTGTTGAGCTAGGGGATCACTTGTTAGGTAACGGATCACGTTCCCTTAATTACCAACTCAAGATACTGATCCCTGGTGCTTGAAAACAGGGATCGTTATCCTCGAACCAATAGTCTCTGTTGGGTCCTGTTGGAACTATTGGATATTCAGGCTCTCAGGTACATACATCCCCATTCGGAGCATATCGCGCGTTCCCCTGTCTATAGCACTCCCCTTTTTGAGTATATCGGGTAAGTACTTAGCTACCCTCCTTTTCTATTCAATTCAATCCAGTCCTAAATCACTTGAGTTTGCTCTCTTCTGTAATTCAACCTCCCATTTGTTTGACAATATCTCATCAGCCCTTATCAAGATATCTGTGAGTTGAGAGTCAGATGTATGTAAGCCGGCGGCAACCGAGTTGCTCCCAATTGCAAATGTTGTGTAACATTCAGTATCCTCAGCCCGGTCGCAATCTCAAAGGAGGCTTTGACAGCCTCTTCCTGCCCGTATTGTTAGAACTTAGCTGACAGGTCTTGCTGCTGATTTCCCCTAATATTTGGGGCTTAGCATTTTTTAAGTCTAGTTCACAGGATCATGGTGTCTTGAACAGCAGTCAGCAATAGGCTTTGACCGCCTCCTTCTATTTGTATTACTTCGCGCACGTCTATCTTTGGCTGGATATATGTACCGCTAATAGCCTGATGAATCTCATATGACTTGAATATAAGTTTGATATTGCCAGGGATGATTCGAGGTAATCTTCCGAGCCACCTCCTGTAAGAAAAGGAACACTGATCTGAGTAATGATCCTGATATATTATTAACTTTAAAACAAGGCTTTGCAGCTTTGCGGCTTCTAGAATCTCCAGACTTTGTTCAGGAGCTGCATTCTACTGGCTTATATCTCTGAAGCTCCGTTAAGAAATGGACTGGTCGTTCGAATTCCTTCAGAAGGCACTTCCTTCGAGTGCTTAGCCCAGTAAGTCTATTCTCAAGCTTGTTCATTTCAAAGGTATAAGAACTTCAGCAATGAGCACTCTCAATCCCCTCAACTCAGTCAATCATCCTCTGAAACCCCTTTATCTCACATTGAACACTACTAGTGACTCAACACCAGCCACTTACAATGATCTCTTTCCGCTTTTCCGCCTTTTTCCTTTTTCTTTGGGCCTTTATAGCCCAAGTCTCTTCTTTACCAACCCCGAGCATCACACTACAAACATACTCAGACAAGAGCTACAACTACATCGGCCAGCAAACCGTGACTAAAGGCACCGTGCCGAGCGACGACGACATGAAAGAGTACGCAACACTCGCTTATCACCAAATGATAAGCGTAAACCAGCATGAAGGATCCAGAAACGTACCGTTGACGATGAGTGCTTTATATTCCCCGGCCCATTCGACCATCATCTTTGCCTCTGGCGTTAAAGACGCTGGGAAGAAGACCAGCGTGGCAGTATCGCCCGTTTACGACGAAGCCTATTCTCATCGCACGTATGGCAATTGTGCTGAAATGGCGGCTATAGCTAGAGCAACGACAAAGAATGTGCCAGTAAATGGGGTAATTTCTACTTACGGCATGCGCGCCAGTGGGGGTGAGCCAGTGGGTTTGAATCCTTGCCGGGATGAGACGGATTTTTATGGCTGCAGCACCTATCTCAAATACTATGACATTAGGGCAACCTGGTGATAAAGCCATGAGAGTGACGAAGACTGTTGGGCCCGAGGATTTTAAGCTCGGTGGTTATTGGGCAACAAAAGAGGTGTAGTTAGAAAGGAATATGGAGACGAGATCCTCCAGGGCGAAGCAGTGCAAGTTTTATGTTGTTTATCTGGCGTAAAGGGGTTTTGGAGCGTTTCTAGGGCCTTGACCGCTAGATACCTTTGCGTTTGAACTTTTGTTTGGTAGTTAACTGTCTTTACAAGCTTGAAACATTTTGGGAAAAACCAATGCAATGCCGCAATGCGATATAAATACCGGGCTCTGCAAATTCCAAAAAACAGATCAGAGATTGCTTTCAACGTCTCTCTCATACCACCAAATTGGTACCTCCCACTGCCTCTTGAGTCGGCGCTGTCCTGGTTGCTGTGCTAAATCCTCACGCTCCTTGTATCTTTCGCCTATCACCTCCCTCGCCAAGAGCGGGCCAAGATCCACGAACCACCCGTTGTCAAACCAAAGATCGTTAAGGTTGGGTAAAATCCTGAGAGCCCTTCCAATCTCGTAATAGATGTCGTATAGAAAGCGGGTTTCTTCGAAGTCGTCTATAAACAAGCATAACTCGCTAGCACCTATGTTTGTATCGATCTCGATAGATAGATTTGGAACGTCAAAGTTCTCCTTGATAAAGAAAACTAGGTTCTGCCATTTCTGGGTATAGTTTCTCCTGTTCCATTCCGAGAGATCCGTCTCTCCAAAGAGGAATCGTAAGCGTCGAAGAAGGCGAAGAGCATGAGTGGGTAGGCCTTTTAGAAAGTAAAGCGTGTCTTCTGGATCTGAGTGGAATTCGAAGAAAACATTCAGGTAGAACACCTGGAAGGCGTCTTCGTACATTTGTTTGCTAACAGAAAATAGTGCAAGGGGAAGCATCCGACAGACACAGGATGCTGAATAAGATGCGTATGATTTCGGGCAACAACAATCAGCGAATGTATCAGTACATTTCCAGCAACAAGTAGTTGGATTTGAATAGAAACCTCGTCCAGAGAACTTGCCACCTTTAATTCGGAATATATCCCAATCACTGTGGTAGGTGCCAGGGGCGGTTAGGTGTGTAAAGCTTAGTATTCTCCAGCGCAGTTCTCTCGGGAGTCGTTCGAAAGGGAATCCTGACCTCGGAATAAACGTCTCGGTTGCCTGAAAAGAGACTCTTTCTGCCAGTGCTCTGATTTCATTGTTCCTTTCCCGACCAAGTCGAATAGTACATTGCTGTAGCCTTGGTAGAGTCAAGAGCGGCTCGACGACTTGTTCCGCCGTTTTCAGACTAATCACGTCACAAATAAAGGTAAGCCGTAATTGTCCTGGAGCAATGACCGACGATAAACGCTTGCATATTATCCTCCATCGTTGTATAAGATCCTGCCCTACCTGGCTCGCTTCGTTTAGCACAGGATCGCTCAGTGCTTTCGGCGTATCGCAGGTCCTGCACCTAGTGCTCCGTTCAGGTGGATCTCCATCATTGTGTCCCCGTGGACAAGGCCAGCAATTCAGGCGGAGTAACAGAGACGTCATGAATGCTAGAGCGCGGAGGTTGATTGTCTGTAAAAGAGTAAGATCAGGGCCAGTATGAGCTCGCAGAATGAATTTGTTGCGACCGACGAGGATCGAAATGGCTTCCTCGGAAACTAGAAGCAAAGCAGTCGGGAGATCAGGGCAAAAACAATTCAAAGGATGTCTATGCAAATTCCCCCCCTCGAACCTGTCATGCCCCTCATCAAACAACCAACAGTTGTGCGGTATAAAGTTGCCATAGGGACCCGTCATGTTATTGTCCAAGATCAGGGCCGATCTTCTCGGAGCAGCAAGGTCTATCGGACAGTGCCGTATCAGGCCTGCATAAGAGTATACTTTGAGTCTCGCCTCGAGAGGCAGGTCGAGAAAAGAGAGAGTGCTTGGCATTTTGGTGATGGGGCTAGACAATCTGTAAACGCAGAAACTTAGAGAGAAGAGGAGAGGCACGAAAGATTTCAATAGGTACAATCGCTCAATAGAGGGCAATTTGGGAGAGAAAGAAAGATAGGATTTTAAAACGTGGGAGCTACCCTGTTGAAGTAAAAGTTGATCTTGGGATTGAATTTGGAGGTTCCAGATGAGGTGGTGGAAGTTGAGTAAGGTAACCTGAGTTTGAAGTTGATGTTGGAGCCTGGAGGGAGACTCGAGGCGATTACCTTATGTGGAATGGATTAACTTAGCTCCGAGCGTTCAACAGTAAGCGAGCGAGTGGATAAGGGGTTCAGGGGTTGTCGCGTAAATAAGGGTTAGCGCCCACGTGCACGCTCAGAAACCGAGTGCTCAAATATACTGCGGCATTTGAACATTACAGGACAAGGTGCTGTGCCGCAGTTGGTTTTCCGGGTTTTATATCTTCAAGGGGCTCAGATTGTCAGGCTCCCCGCTGCGGCGCATAGAGAGCTGGGCGCATAGAACAGTCAGCTTATATCATCTACATTTACGTCAACCTGATCGCTCACATCGTTATCCAGCCCCTTTTTCTCCCTTTCTTTCCCCTCGTCCCAATCACACTTCCCCTCGATATGCATCACGTGGGGTCACCACCGGGGTGAAGCATCCAGCGTTGGGCCCGAATCTCCCTCTTTCACCTCTTGATACTCCAGCACGACGCTGACGGTTCGATTCGGATGGCGCTGAAGAGAAACAAGAGGGGAGGCAGGCCGTCGCCGTACCCGCGGTTCCTCTTCCACGGCCTGCGCTCGGCGCAGTTGTTGAGTTCAATTGTTGTCAGCGGCATTATGTGTTATTTCATGTACTATCTACGTTCGTCCCGTCCCATGTCTATCCCGCCCGCCACCCGCATTGAAAAGCAACCATACTGATAGCTGGAGGATAGGACTTGAGCATTTCCCGATCCCATGGACGTTTATAATTGTGGGAATATTTCTTTGTTGCCTGTGCCGCAGAGATACAGCTAGTCTCTGTTCTTCTTGTCCTGTCTCGATATATGTTTCATGGAGAGCCGGGCTAATGACTTGCATAGCTCTTGACTATCTCTATTGCTACGATTGCCAGTTTGACTGTCACGATTGTTCTATATAATTTCACATATCTCTCCCCCAGATTTAACCTCGTCCTCAACGGCTCGATATCCTTCTTTTGGGCCCTCGGTCTAGCGCTCCTCAGCTGGTCGGTGAGCACAAGCCATGTGCTAGAGAAGGCCTGTACGGGTGACGTTTGGGGAGGCAGCGCTGAGGCGGGTGTGTGTCGAGATTATAAGGCGCTGTGGGGGATGACATTAGTCGGAACGTGCGTTGATTTCCGTTCATTCGTTTCCTTTCCTATCAATTCGAGACGAGTAAACTGACGAGAGATACCCAACAGTGTCTCCACATTCTCCGCTCTTCTCCTCGACATCCACACTCAGCGCAAGACCAACCAGCGGGGTGCCTACATCCTCCCCGAAGACGACAAGGACGCCCAGCGCCTGAACGAGTTGAAGAGCTCCCGCGTGCGAGATGCCGGCTATGACGTGCCCAGCGACCAGAGCGCCGTCCAGCCCTCGATCTTCGACTCGGATATCGGGTATCACAACCGCTACGGGGAGCCGGACGATGATCTGCAGGCGTTGCCGCATGGTCCGCTAGAGGACAATCGGCCATCGAGAGATATGGGGTACCATCATCAGTTCTTCCGCGATTAAGGGAGATTTCGTGGTAGACCTTGGGTTGTGGCTAGAGCTCTGGTGGATATAATCAGGAGTGTCCGCCCATTTCTGTATTGGAAGGAATTTTGTTCTCCTTTTGGGCTTTCATTTTGGTCTTGGAGGATTTTGATGCGCGTTTGGAGGATACCCAGAATAGAAAGCATGATTATCAGGAAGCATTCAACACGAGTTGGCAACTCTTTGAACCAAACGAGAGATGGCAGAGTAGTCGTCTTAAAAAATACCGGCTTGTTACTTGAATTGCGTGCATCTTTATCCTGAAACCACACACGTCTAGATTCCCTAGTTTCAGGGACAAATCAACAGCAGTGCACCTTTTGATGATACAGCAAGCATGGTTTGACTACATGTGTATTTCCTTTTTATCTATACTCTACCAAGTCCTCCATTCATTCCAAGCCCCGATCTCCTATCTATATTCTCAATGCCGCTTTCCTGGACCACAACATCCGTTCCACCCCCTCGACCCCCTCCAGTCATTCAAGAAGTCTATCCCGAGGCCAAACTTCGCACATCCCAGAAACAACCTCGGGCAGAATCTCTCTCCTTATATATCAAGGTGCCGATGGAAGCTCACGCATCTCCGCCCAAGCTACACGGTAAGTTGTCCCAGTTCTGATACCATCTACCTTATACTGGAACATATAGATATGAATATACATATCCCACCACATTCTCACCAACCATCTAATCTACAATCTACCCATTTCGAATTTTCGAAATGGGATGGCAGCATGCGATGTTGAGAATGGAGGGATGGCCGTAGGCAGCTCGGATAGATCAGGATATGAATGAGACAAGGTTTTCCATCGATTATCCGACTTCACAATGCATGAGCACCAGGATATTTATCATGAGAACGCTGGAGAGTAAGTGAGATAGCGTGTTTGAGATGATGGATGGACTCTTGGATCGAGCAGCTTGGCGTATGTATCGAAGAGGATGATGAGACTCGAGCTGAAAAAAAAACAAAAAATCACAATCCCTCCCTCCCTTCCCCCTATTCCTCAACCATGGCAGACAGAACAGCTAGCTCCCAAAATCTCTAAGCCAAAACGCCAGACTCAGAATCTACTCATCCTAGGTATATATTCCCAACAGCTTCTTAACCGCTAGGTTTTTAGGAATGGGAAAAAGAAAATGTGCGAAGAGAGAGGAATAATGGAATTGATAGATTGATTTATATAACCTAGGTATGTCTCTACCCAACTTACTTCATTTCTTATATCATTTTCTTTAAATCGAAATCAAAATCAAGCACTCGAAGGAATCCTGCACATATCCTCAAGGATCAGGATATCATAGCGGGTCGAGAAAAGTAGAGTGAGTCTGTGTTACACATGGCTATGAAGCTGAGTAGTTAAGAAAGGAAACGTTAGAGCACGAGTCTCTCCTTGTACGGCGCTGGGTGTAGGCATATATATATATATATGTATGGATTTATGTGTGTATTAATGCGTTTATATGTACGTAGCTAGAAGCATGAGGGTGTAGCGTACATACATACATACATACCGGTACATAATAACACAGGAAGCCATGCTTCTACTTGTATATACTACATACGTCCCGGATTTGTCTGTAGAGCATAAGGCTGTTTGTTGATGATATATATAGATAGACAGCATTTAGATAGATAGATAGCTTGGTCTACCGTCTACCTACTATGGTTAATTCATCTGACTGATGCATACATAGGTGAAGACGGGAGGATAGGAATGGAAATTTATGGAATGGGAATAATGAGGCGTTTGAGTTGGTGTCGTGTTGTGTTGGCACTGTTGGGGTTAACACACCAACAGTTATCATTACTTCTGTAAACCTATTTCATATGTCTTAATCTTCTTAGCCCCTCATCATTACGGGCAAACTGCCCCCAACATTAAAAAAATGGCTGATGGGTCGTTGGTTCTGGTTTATATATCTTGAGACATCGTTCCAAAGCGAGTAGTTAAAAAAGACTTTGGAAATATGTGGTGTATTTGATGTATATAGTTCAGAAGAAAACCGGTTTACTTACCTACCTACTATTCAATCCACCTATGCCCAAGTCCTAGCCATGAACTATTCAAGCAAGACTTCAAGATGAGGATATATCAAGCGCAAAAGCCGCGCCCCCCAAAACCAACAAACAAAACCCCTCTCTAATCCATCCTCCAAGCGCCCACCCACCTCCCCAGTCCATGAGCCAGGCCCCCCTTCTCGAAGGATTTCGAAGCCTGCACCGCGCGCCCCCCCTTCCTGCACACATGGACAAATAAGAGCTGCAGACGCGCCTCATGCAAGGGATATCACGCTGCACATGGCCCGTTACAGACCGAAGCTGGGGTCTGGCGCTCTGTGCACCACGTGTGCCGATGAGGGTGGGGCGCGCGCTGGATTAGGAAGGTTGACGATGATAGAGCAGAGGAGGTATTTGGGTATTCGGAGTTGAGCTGGGTTGGCTGGAATTGAGTTTGGGAATGTTGTACTGTACCTCCGTACGTAGGGGTGGGGAGAAGGGGAATATTTCATCAGTCGTTGAATGGATTCTCTCTCTGTATGACTGCTCCGCGTGAACAGTTATGTGATTTGAAGAGCCAACAACACCAAGAGCAAAGAACCATCCAGGTATCTTACTGTAGTAAATGAATACCGTATGTATGCGTGCTTAGAGGATACGGATATACGCGGTAACGCGAGCGTGCGGCGCGGGACTCGTATCGTTCGCTATCGGGATCCAAGTGCCGATTATTGCGATGATGAATGAAAATGGAGTCTTGACTTCTACAACCCCGCACCTTGTCGGGTTCTGTCTGGAGTCCCGCTATCTCTAATCGCGAGTTGTACTTATCGCTACGAAGAATCATACCTTGTAGGACCTTATAGGTGGTTTTAGTCGCGCCCGCAATTAACGCAATAGTGATGCGCGGACAAGGGATGGAGTCGTACGGCACGGCCTTACGAGTTGCTGTGTCGGGCAAGGAGGAAGTTGCTGGGGGGACCGGGAGAAGGCTGGAAGGACGTTGGAAAGGATCATGGATGGAACATGGATGGAAGCGTGGATGGAGGGATCTGACTGTCGATCGCATCGCATTGGGGCGGCCTTAGATAGGAGATGGCAGAGCTCTGTGCCTGTTTCCACGTGGGTGCATTGTGGATGGGTCGCAGAGATTGGGGATCCATTGGGGAGGGGTTTGGCTGCATCATGGATGACTGTGTCGAGGGGATGGAGTGTATATACTTAGCAGCATCGTAGCTAGAAGAAGTATCGTCGCGCGGCGCAGTTCGTAGCATCTTGCTCTGTGTAGGCGGTAGTAGTAGTAGTAGTACACAGACAAGGAGTAGCACTGAGTCTACATAAGTAAGACATACAGTCCGTAGGGTAATTTCCACTCAGCCTGAAACGCACGGCAGTCGACAATGAACTGCTACTTGAGTACTAGTGACTGCTGTAGGTACCATCGACGATGTACTCACTACGACGTACCTCAAGTCTTAGCACTGCGGGCAGTACAGGTACAACAGGAGTGAGGCCATGCTACAGACGTGCATGCAGCAGCAGACAACAGCGGTAGTGATTGGGCTGTTCGACAAATAGGCCCGTTTCAGTCTCTCAGCTGTGAGGACGCCGTAAGCATGCATGGCTATTACAGATGATGACCACCGTGAGATTATTTTTGGTGCTCTTTTGAAAGTATTCTGGCGGAGAGAGACAAAAGGCAGAGAGGCTGCGGAAATGCGATGGAGAACCCCCACGACGTACTGATATTGTGCTGCAACCTTGTTATCTATTACCGTTTGATTGTTTTCGCGATTGATTTCTCTGCAAGGAAGCGAAGAGGAAGGTGGAGAAATATAGTAAAAAAGTAAAACAGTAAAACAGTAAAATAGAAGAAAAAAAAAAAATAAAAATAAAAATCAAAAGAACTGGCAATAAAAATTTAGACGAAAAGAAACTGCAGAGCGAAGAGCTTCGAGTACCGTGAAACAGTGAAACAGTGAGAAGACCCCATGAAGAGAGCCCCGTCCACCACGGGACGAACCGCGGATGGATGAACAAGGTCGGGCTATTCTAAATTTAAAAGTAACCTGAGAAATAAACATCGACAGGAGATGATCTGAGCGGATCTTCCTCGCACACCTCGAGTGCCGAGTACAGTACTACTGTACGGTACTCAATGATGTGATATGATCTCCTGGTCCCGTCCCGTCCTCTGTGAACCATCATCCATGATCCCATCCACGATGCCATCCGTGATCCTGTCCATGATCCTAATCGTGGTACATGGTATGTGCTTCGAAGTATAATCCCCTGGGAGATAAAGTAGGCGTCCGTTCACTATTGGCCGGACCTGGCCCGTGTCTGCCGTCTCTGGCCGGTACTTGATCGATGAGGAAATTCCCCTGCGGGAGGAAGTACACCATGTACATCACTACTGTATGTGCGTGTACACAGGACTACTGTAAGTACAAGATGAGGCCTCTCCGATACGACGCAATCCCGTCCCGCCCCCTGCCGGCGAGTCCGCCCGGTAGCATCGGGTACGAAAGTCTGTCTCTGCGCTCTGTACCCGGCCCCTGATCATACTCGACCCACGTGCTGGAGCATGGTCCACCGCTGTGTCGCCCGAACCTTGATCGCTGGAAATCCGGAACAGCGACGACGGGAGGGAGATGCAGTTGGTGTCTTGGTTGTTCTGGATCCTACTTATTAGGAGACTCGATGCTGAAGAGGGATCATCAAGAGAGGGTAGCACTGCAGATGTTGGAAACAACTCGATGTCCTCGTGCTGCCTGTGCTTGTGTCCTCGACAGGAGAGAGAACACAGGACACAGAATCTGAAGAGGCCGTATCGCAGATTACTTCGTAATGATGATTCTCTGTACGTCCGTAACATAATACATGAAATACGATTCTAGCGTAATGCTGAGTCTGTTGTTGGGGTCCACAGGAGGGACCCAAGACCCAGGACCCAGGATGCAAGACTTCTCAGGGCCACGCTGCGATGCGGGGAGGGACAGTATCCAGTCTCTGTGTTCAAGTCAGCAAAGATTCTTCTTGTCCTCTGACCGACCTACATAGCTTATCACCTCAACCCATGCCGCCGCACGTTTTCCGCACGTGGGGCTGGTGGTTGACCTGCATGGGGAGCCATCGACGAGGGAGCCAGAGCCATACAAGAGACCCGCCAACAGCATATCATGGACCAACTATCCAGAATCAGTAGCAATCGGCCCAGACCCCAGAGTTGCATTCAACCCATACGACAATACAGCAGATGCATACAGGCCCTGCAGGGACCGCATGGTGAAGGCGGCGCAGGACGCGGACAGGGGAGCCATATGGCGGGTACAGACTGCTGAGGTTACCATGCAGACACTGCTACAACACCACCGCTACCACGGCTACCACCGCAACCACCGCTACCACCACAACCACAACCTCCGCCGCAACCACCACTTACCTTTACGTCCGTACCATTCTCCAACCAGCATCTCACCACCCCTACACTGCAATCCCTACCATCCCCCCCAGTCTGCCGGTCCAACGCCGTGCTCGCCATGTGCCACCCTGGTCCCACGCTTCCTGCGATCCTTGAATGCCATGGATTCCATGTGGCCCTGCTGCGCTGCTCTGACATGTTTATGAAGGCGATGCTTCCCCCCCTCTCTGTCGAGGGGCACGTCCATCCAACTCAGACCAGCCCGCCATGAAGCCAAAATCTGCTCATCGATACAGGATATGTGGCACGCCTGTGCGGACAGGCTGCATCACTTGCAAGTCAGACACTCCCAACTCCCAACTCCCAACTCTACTGCTCAATTGGCTAACCCCCGCTGCAGGATCCGGAGAGTCAAGTGTGGTGAAGAGAAGCCCTTCTGTAAGAGATGCACCTCCACCGGGCGCAAGTGCGATGGCTATGCTCCGCCGTCAGAAACAAAGCCTGGCCACAAGAGAGCCGCTCCTCCCAAGCCGCTCACCCTCAATGCCAACGAAGACCCGATGGAACAGAGCACCCTCGCCTTCTTCAGCGCCTTCACGGCCCCGAAGCTCTCGGGATACTTCTCCCCCGATTTCTGGGAACGGCGAGTCCCCCAAGCCAGCCTGGCCGAACCCTCCATCCGCCATGCCATGATTGCGCTCGGCGCGGTACACCGCGATTTCACTGCCAGACATGAACGGACGGGCCGCTTCGTCGATGCCTCCCTCGAGGCCTTCGCTATCCGCCACTACACCATTGCTATCAGTCACCTCCACCAGCTGATGTCGACCCGGACGCAGCAGCTCGACATCACGCTGATCTCCTGCATCCTGTTTATTGTGTTCGACTGCCTCATCGGCCATCACACCAGCGCCCTGATCCACTTGAAGGCTGGCTTGAAGATTCTGGAGGATATCAAGCGGCAGAATGCGCAAGGAGGGACCACCTCCCAGCCGACTTTGACGCAGCAGTGGGAGCGGGAGTTCTCGCCCTTATTGCTGGGACTCGGCGTCCAAGCCGCTTCTTTCGTCGACCCGAAATATCCAAAGGACCGCGAGGATTTGTGGGAGTCGCTGAGGGCCGTCAGGATCCCGGCGCACCCGCTGACCTTCAACTCCCTGGATGAAGCTCGTCATGCCCTGGAGACGCTCGCTGTCGATATCATGGGCGGCGGCATCCCGACATCTCCCCTTCCTAACTCTCCCCTCTCCCCTGATTACCTCCCTCACGAGCACATCCCCCAGGATCATATGTCGCCCAATCCTACTCCTCAGGATCAGCCCCCTCACGATCAACTCCCCCACGACCACATCTCTCCCGCCCACATTCCCTCACCCCTCTCCCCCTCCCACCCCGGCGCCCAAATACAATCCCACCTCACCGCACTCCAGGACTGGACGAAAGCGCTCGATCGCTACCTCGTCAACTACGCCGCTCGCGACCCCTCCGCAAGCCGCGTCCGCTGCGGCGCCAACCTCCTAAAAGTGCACTCCCTAATGCTCAGCATCGTCGCGTCTCCCCCGCACTACCCCTCATCCACCTCCAAATTCGACCGCATCCTCTCCCTCTGCGAATACCTCCTCGCGGCCAGCACGTCCTGCGGCCGCGCCGCCCCCTCCCTCAGCTTCTCCGCCGACTTCGGCATCATCGCGCCTCTCTTCTTCACCGCCGTCCGGGCACCCTCACTCTCGCTCCAACAGCGCGCTTACGGACTCTTGGCTCGCGCCCCGGGACGCGAGGGCATGTGGGATTCGGATGACGCGCTGCTGGCTGCTGGTGATGCCATCTTGATCGCGGAGCAGCAGCAGGCCCTGATGACGCAGGCAGCGTATCGCACGCCGCCCATGTCCGCCGGCGAGACGGACGTGGATGAGAGGGAGTGGGACGAGGTGCGGCAGACGGAACCGTTCGAGACGGGCGAGTTGTCGGTGCTGGCGTCCCCGTTTGAGCCGGCGACGACGCAGCAGCAGCAGCAGCATCGGGGGAGCGCGAACGTGACACTTCATGAAAATTTCAATAATGCGGATGGGATGGCGGATTTTGGAAGACCTTTTATGATGCAGGAGTTTATGATGGAATACCCGGTCGCGTGATTGATGGATGGATGTATGATAATGGGATGGGATGGGATGGCAAATTTCTATCTATCTATCTAATAGCTAAGCTATGTATAGGGGGCGTTTTATTATATGTCTTGGGATGGAGAATTGGAATCACTGGTATGTGTATTACGAAGACGGCTGGTGATGGATATTATGAAATTTTATGGGTTACTTATTTATTATAGATGTATATGTTTTTTTGGTCTTATTAATGAAGTTATTATTATTATTATTCTTTGAATTGTTGGGAATGGGAATGGAAGAGGTTTCTTTGTATTGGGACACGCTCTCCTCACTTTGTGATGTAGATAGGTATGTATCCTATATCAATAGCCTCCCTCTCTCCGTATCCTCCCTGTTTTATCCAGCAGACTACACTCACTCTCCCTGACCCTTAGATATACCACGTAGATTCATTCATCATCTATCACCTAAAACACGTACCCCCTCCCCTATACCTACCCTGCCCTGCTCACCTTCCTGACCCTAGCTAGCTACCCTTCCTTAAGGCACCCCTCCCCTCTTCAACTCAAACCTCTGTACCTGTGGCCTTAGCCATAGACATATATACGGACTGCAAGGAGGCAGGGGGGTCAAGATTTCATGGAAAAGTAGTGTCGCGATCATTCACTTGTGTGTATGGATGTCAAGATAATTGGAAGAAGATGAGACACACTTACTCCCGCCGTAAACGAACAAAGGTAGTTTTGGGTTTTGGAATTGGTTTGAATTGCTGTAAATAGAACGTTAACTATTGGAAATGAAAAGTTGAAAACGACCGGATCGAAGGATGATATGATATGGTGAAATGAGGGGCCTATGGACTGCAGCAGCTGCTGTCTGAAACGCATTACGACTTACGAGACATCAATTGCGTTGATTTGGCGGGTCAGTATCTCGCAGATTAGCTCTTCCCATGAACATTTCAGGCTTTCGAAAGATAGTCGCGGACTTTTGTCGCCCATTCAGGAAGTGGTTCGTGTTTTCCCTGTTGTGTAAAATTCGATTCTTCCATCAGGTGCTCGATAATTGCGATCATTTTCACCGGACTTGGTCTTACCAAGACATTCCATGTAGTCGCTATTCTGACTGCCTTTCGTAATTGTGGAGAATACTGATCTGGAATCCTGAGATCTCGTACTCTGGAATCTGCCAGCTCGAAATATCTGTCAAAGGATAAATTGCGGGGTTTGGATGCTAAATTGATATGGCTCAGGCCTTCCGTTGAAGGGTCTGGAGTGCAGAGGTTGTAAATGCACGCACCGAGCGCCCAAAGATCGGAATATCGAGTATGCCTATGAGGTTCAGGGTAGCGACTCCACGCATCTGCTGCGCCACGAGCATTGGCCGCTGGTATATTCTCATAAAGCAGTTCTGGTGCCCAGTAAGTCTTCGTTCCAAGTTTCGCCCCTGTTCTCTGCCACTGATTGACGTTTGGATCCCTATCATCTCTATCTTCACAAGCGAGCCCGAAATCACTGAGGACACAATAAAAGTATTTCGCAGATCCTACCGTATGCCTTGACCTGAGAAGAACGTTGTCGGGCTTGACATCGCGATGAAGGATCGGTACCCAATCCGATCTCTCTTTGGCGTTTGGATTGCGATAAAATGACTCTCCTCCCTGCAGATATGCCAGCCCATCACAGAGACCAGTAAATACATGCCAGACGAAGGCTTCAGGTACGGATGGGGTAGGGAAAGCGTTTCCGCGTTTCGAGAACTCCTTTATCATGTCCTCCAAGGAACCTCGGTCACAAAATTCGACGTATACCGAGGCGTCCCTGAGGTCTGGCGTGATGAAAGCAGCGTTGTAAAAGGTTAGGCTTGAGTGACACACTCTCCGGAGCATTTGTATTTCCTCTATGGCGAAGGATATACTATCCGGTTTGAACCTTTTCTCGACAAAGACTCGGCTGGATAGGCCTTTGATGCGGACCACGAATACTCCGCCATTCATGCCCCCTAGGCTGCCGTCGCCCTTATCGATTGCATAAACAATCTCAAACTTGTGTCGAAGGTTCTCCTTCGATATCTCTGCACGTTGCATCTTATTAAGGTCGAAACCTGTGTTTTGAAACGTTTGAGCCGCAATCTCCAAGCCACGTGGGGCGCTATTGGAGTGATGGGCAAGATTGTTTGCCATGTATCGAGGGTCCTTTGTTGTGCTCTGCCCACTCTTCCGATTGTGGTACACTGGGGCCCAGCTCTTATCGTATTCGTTCTGGACGATTTTGAGTATCCATGGTGGAGGTAGGCCTCCTAGGGTTGGGTGATCGAATGTCCTTTCTCGAGTTGAGGCCTTTCTGAAGAGGATACGCTTTTCAGCATTGGCCGTAATATCTATTCCCCAGTCTTTCGGAAGTACTTGGAGTTCGGGACAGATTTGCATCACGCGTCCCAGTACTATTTCTTTGTTCGCCATATCGCCTGTGGCAGACTGTGGAGATGGAAAGAATATTTGAATGATCCGCACGAAGATCCAACACATTTCTTCATTTTAGTACAACAATTTATGGAGAATCTGTATCCAAGTCAGAGTGAAGGTATTAGGTTATAGTGAAGCTATTGTGTGAATCACTCGAACGAGCACAATAGGATCACATTCACAATAGAAAAATTAGCGGTGAATGAATCCTGCCGACTCGACACAGAACTCAAAGGTGGCAAAAAGAACTTCTGCAAGGTAAGCTCCATACAATGCAAGAGATAATCTAATCAAGAATTATGGCAAGCTGTACTAATTTTCAGGCATCCCAGCTTTCGAGACATCGTGGAAGACCCCACCAAGACAACATGTCTCAACAATCTGAACTCTGCAGACGACGGGGAGTTGATCTTCAACAGATGATCACTTACTTCAAGAACGAGACAAAGGTGAGTGAAAACAACATGACTGCCACACAGCAGGCTGGCGGAGCGAGGACACCAATAGGTCTGGGAATCTATTTCGCAGATGTCTCCAGCTGGAGCAGTAACAGCAGCAGCGACGGCTCCGTCCATTCCAACCACTCCAGTCACTCTATCAGAACCGAATCTTCAGAACCTGATACATACGAAGAGAAACTATCTCGCTATCGAAAATTCTTCGACAATGGACCTCTGATGAGATGCCTAGACAAAGATGACAAGCAGCCAGCTGCTGACTTGCTATTCAATGCTTTGCTCACAGACGTACAACAGAACCAACTCAATGATGAGAATTACAGGGGAGTTGTCCAAGTCAGATCCTTCTGGGATGATGTGAGGAAACAATTGAGATGTGAGAATGAGGCGTGGGTGGATTTTTGGCCGGAGGGATATCCTCGATATCCTCCCGACGAAGCTGAGTGCTTTAATAGATCTGATTATTACGCATCATATCGTTGGACGATGTTTGGCCAGCAAGAGTCCAAAAGTCAAGGAAAATATCAAGAACATCAAGTCTGTCTTGCACAGAATCGCGAATCGAAATGTCGGGGAATCCACGAAGCCAGAATCCACGCTAAAACTCCACCGAACGGCAACTTCCGCACCGCATCAAACACGTATTCTCAAGCATCCCGCAATCACCACTCAAGAACCAACCACAATGGATCCCTTTTCCGCTGAGGGCGAGCTCCTAAACATTCACAACTACTTCCACCAAGGCCAGTACCAGGAGGTCATCGATTTCGACACCTCAAGTCTGTCTCCCGAGAACGCACTACCCGCCCGCATCCTCTCCCTGCGCGCACAGATCGCCCTCGGACACGCTGAGGAGGTTATCGCAGATGTACAAGGCGAAAATGAACCTGAGTTGATTGCTGTTGGGGCGCTGGCAGAGCTGGCAGCTGGGAATGAGGCGAAGGCACTGAAGGTCGCCGAGACGTTGGCGGGCGAGAAGGGAGATAATGCCGTTGTGCAGGTGTTGGCGGGCACGGTGTTGCAGGCTGCGGGGAAGACCGAGGAGGCTTTGGCACTATTGAGCCAACATCAGGGGAATCGTACGTATTTCACACGATAGGAGACCATGCCAATGGCTAACGGGGGGATAGTTGAGGCTGTTGCGCTGATTGTGCAGATTCATTTGGAGCAGAATAGACTCGATCTGGCGATAAAGGAAGTTCAGGCGGCTAGGAGTTGGGCTCAAGATAGCTTGCTGGTCAATCTGGCGGAATCGTGGGTTGGTCTGCGAGTGGTGAGATCCCCTCTCTATAAGGTATTTGGAGGATATGCTAATGTGTTGCAGGGCGGAGAGAAGTATCAGCAAGCATTCTACGTCTTCGAAGAGCTCGCACAAGCTCCATCGACATCGTCTACTCAAAGTTTGGTCTCACAAGCGATTGCTGAAATCCATCTTGGCCGATTGGAGGAGGCCGAGGCTGCGCTGCAGCAAGCTTTGACGAAGGATCCCAAAAATGCAGACAGTCTTGCCAACAGCATTGTACTGAACGTTATTGCTGGGAAGGATGTCAACGAATTGACAAGGTACGGTCTCTGATGCCATTATCAAACGGTCCGCTAACATTTTTATTGCAGTACCCTAGCAAGCACAGCACCAGAACACCCTTTCCTCCGAGACATCCAAGAGAAGAGCGCATTGTTCGACAAGGCGGCCACGAAATACTCGGCGAAAGTCTCTGCATAATGATATCCCTATCAATAAAATGAATATGGCGTTGGAGGATGCGGGCTTCGCATAATGTTGTTAGTTATACACTTGGAGAACAAATATGTGGGAATCGAAAAGAATTCAAAGCATGCAATGACGCCGAACCACATCCTGTGAAATCGTCCATGATAAGACAAGTCATAATGGAAGAGGGGTCTCTGGAGAAGAGAATGGTTGCGTGCGTGTGCTGCGAGGAGAAGAGGCTCAAAATGCACATTGACATCAACAGATTGACCCCTCGTGCAAGTACCCGCGATACCCTCACAAAAGTCCCAAAGGGGATGGAGGGTCAAAGATAACAGTTTTGATGCACAATGACGCTTTTGCCCACCCTCTCTAGGGAGAAAGGTGTGGCAGATTGAGGATTGTATACCTTGAGCCGTTTTCCCCTCACCGACGGACATGCTGACTCGCCAGATCCCTGTTATCCATTGTCCAAAAGGCAGAAAAATGCATCGTTCCGATGGTTCGCGGATAAAGGGCGTCGACGGGCGGGAGCGAGGAAAACGGTTCCAGATTTCCAGTGTTTAGTGACGTCATTTCCCCTGCCCCCCTTCCACAGCCCCCTTTGCCAGGCGAAAAAGAGCTTCGTGAGGTTCATGAAGTTCATGAGGCTTCTCTGCGATAGGTTCTCTGCATTGCCTGCCCCCACTCCAAACGAGGACGGATATCTTGGATCTTGCCCCTCTATCCGACCTCGATCTGTTTATATCCAATCAGAACATGCGATTAGACTGGTGGTGAATTGACTCGACGGCACTCAAGCACCACGGTCCCTTTTTACAGGAAAAATACTGTAACCCGCCGTCGTCATTGATCGTGAGTGTTACTATCGTGAATGTTACCATCGTGAAAACCGGAAAAGCCAGCGGCTTTGGGTTCACATCCTAAGATAGGAGGTGAGTAGTATTAATGGGAGCCTTTCTGCCTCCGCCTCTTCCTGTTCCTCTTCCTCTTTTTCTCTCTGCTCCATATTTTCACAGCAAGATACATCATACTCCATATTTCTCCCTCGAAACCTGATAGCGAAAATCTCTCCCGCTCTATCGTCTCAGGTCCACAATACGATCTCTTATCAACATTCAACCGTTCAAGCCTAGCTTCTCAAGGCCGCCGTTCTACTTTGCCGATAGAAAACTTTAAAGATTGCCATCTTCAACATCTCAAAGATACAAATCCACAAGCCATTGCAAGATGCCTACTGCCGTACAACCCTCAGGCACTGAAGCGAAGGACCTCACAGTCCCAAAAACAAGTATAATGGCTACGCAGGATAAGAACATGATGCACACGAAGCGGAAAATCGTCTGTTTTTCCGGTACGTTACCAAACTCTTCTGCCCTGGGGAAGTGGATCACCAGTGTGGTCTAACAGAAAGATTAGATTTCGATGGCACGATCTTCATGCAAGACACCGGACACATCCTTTTCGACGCCCACGGCTGCGGTTCCGCCCGTCGGAATATCCTCGACGAACAGATCAAGTCGGGCGAGCGCTCTTTCCGGGACGTATCTGAGGAAATGTGGGGCTCTTTAAACATCCCCTTCGAAGATGGTTTCGAAGTCATGGAGCAGACTCTCGAGATCGACCCGGACTTCCAACACTTCCACAAGTTCTGCGTCGACAACAACATCCCGTTCAACGTTATTTCTGCCGGACTGAAGCCGATCCTGCGGAGGGTGCTGGACACTTTCTTGGGCGAGGAGCAGGCGAAACATATCGAGATCGTGGCCAATGATGCTCAGATCAAGGAGGATGGGAGCGAGTGGAAGCCGATCTGGAGACATGACACAGAGCTGGGTCACGACAAGGCCCTCTCCATCGCCGAAGCGCGCGAAGAAGCCGAGCTGGCTTGCGAGGACGGCACCATTCCTCTGATCGTATTCATCGGCGACGGCGTTTCAGATCTCCCTGCCGCCCGAGAAGCAGATGTTCTATTCGCACGGAAAGGGTTACGACTCGAGGAGTACTGCATCGAGAACAAAATCCCGTATATCGGCTTCGACACCTTCGCCGATATCGAGAAGGAGGTCAAGAAGATCATGGTCGAGGATGAGCAGAAGACGGGTGGCGCCGGCAAGCCGGCCAGGTTCAACCCCAGAGCCAATATGTGGCGTAGGGTCAGTAGCAAGACGGCCGTCCCCGCATACGTGGCTGCTACGCCCACCAAGGAAGAGAAGATGTTCTTGTGGCCCGAAGCCTTCTCGGATTATAAACCCAAGACTGTCGATGAGACGGTCGCTTCCTAACAGGTCACCCGGCGCTTTTCTTACAACTTCTTGCCTGTCATATTCGCATCTGGGAATTGGGGTTGCAATGCATTGCTATGGCGTATCGGATATGGGATGGCTTGACGAAGAAATATTTATATTGCATGAGAGTTATAGACAAAACAGCGAGACGTAGATGGGAAATGGAATAGACGGTTGGTGGGAACCTGAACTCCCAGTGTGGGATTCGTTCATTTCTTATTGGAGAATTGTAGTCGGTCTTTATGATTGGAAGAGCTACATGCTTGAAGAAAAAAAGCAGGAAACAGACGATAAGAACAATGCTATCACGTTGAGTATTGAATATCGACTTCGATTGTTGCCAATAGGAGACATTAGTTTATGCTGAAGATCCTTGATACCTTACAAAACAGGATTTCGTTTTGCATCTCCGCAAGAAGCGTAATAGGGGTAGAGGCGACGACAGTCACAACGGAAATGATTATAAAGAGCTTTGTCAGCTCGGTTGAAAATCAGGTAAATATTGCGCGAAGACGAATTACCTCAGATGGTATTTGATTAATATAAATATAAATAATGTAGGAAGAGGTTTGATGAGAGGGGTGGTTTCAGGAGCTGCAGTGGGGCACGACTCCGAGGTTGCATATGATATACCTAGGTAAGGTAGGTATGAGAAAGCTCGTTGTAGAGAGCCTTGAGATGGAAAGGCGAGAGAAAGGAATAAATAATTTGTTATATATTTAGAAGCTTTAGGAGAAGAAGAAGTGAACAGAGGCCTTCCTGCAGAATCTCATGTCATCTCTTTCTCCGTACGAGACCCGCTGCGGATTCTTCCGTGTACAAGCCACAGTGGCTCAGCCGTTTGTTGAGCACGACACAAAGCGTTATACACTTCTGGCAGCATCCACAGCTCCTCTCATTACATATCCTAGCCCTAATCATCTCTTTCATTTCTTCACCTATTCATCTATCCATCTGTTCCCATTCCCACTGCTCACAGCATCAACGGGACAAGGCTCTCTCCAGAAATCCCTCGTCGGAACCAAGCAACAAAACTCCCCCTCCATCCCTCCATCCCCGCCCCGCATACTCCCCGGCAGTTGCGGGTCCAATCACGAGCTATCCCGCCCATGCGCTCTGGACCTCTTCAACCTCCCAAGACCACATTTTCCAACTCACAGCCACAATAGCATTGGTCTTGGCATTGTCATTGGCATTGGCATCTCAACTACTACAGTGTTGTTTGGCTTGGCCGACGGCCACCAACCTCTCTATATCTCTCTCCCTCTACGATGGTCCGACTTACTCTCCGCAGCCGACTAAAGTCCTACGGCGTCAACAACAGCTCCAGCAATAGTCGAAGCACAAGCCCCAGTGCCAGCGTGAAACGATCAAACACGATAGACAGCATGGCAGATCCCACAAAGGCCAATGGTCTGGTACTGAAAGCTGCGGTTCTCCGGGTAAGTGCAGCAGGCGGGGAGCATACAGCTGAGATACTGACAGCAGCTGTGCATAGGCCAGGAACCTCGCGGCAAAGGACAAGAACGGGTCTTCCGATCCAGTGAGTATATAATATTCGCAGACCGCGGAACCCCGAACCCCGCTCCGCCGAACAACAGAGTGACTGACGAATCGTAGTACCTCGTCCTCACCCTCGGCGACTCGAGGCACGTAACCCAATACGTCCCCAAGACATTGAACCCCGAATGGAACGTCACGGTCCAGATGCCCGTCTCGGGCGTGAACTGCCTCCTGCTCGAGTGTGTGTGCTGGGACAAGGATAGATTTGGGAAGGACTACCTGGGCGAGTTTGACTTGGCACTCGAAGACATCTTCTACAACGAGCATACGGCACAAGAACCGAGATGGTACCCCCTCAAGAGCAAGAGAACCAACGGGAAGAAGACCAGCAATGTATCCGGCGAGGTGCTTCTACAATTTACTCTGTTGGACTCATCGAACCCTACCGCCACCGATCAACAGATTCTGGAGAAATTTAAAACCATCTGTGGCTCGGACATTGGCGAACTTATCCCCGAGACAGCGACGAAGCGGACGAGCCGTGCGAGCGCGGCAGATGAAGTCCCTGAAGAGGAAGAAGAAGATCAATTTTATGAGGATGAAGAACCTAGCGACGAGACGGACGACCCAGCAAAACCCGATTCGGTCGAGAAAAGGAAGCGCAGATTGAGGCTCAAGGGGCTCAGGAGGAAGAAGCAATTGGGCGCATACGAGTTCAGCGGAGGTAGCGACCTGGTTGGGATAGTCTTCCTTGACATACAAAAGATCACCGATCTTCCACCGGAACGGAACATGACTCGAACATCATTCGATATGGACCCTTTCGTCGTGGCGTCTCTGGGGAAGAAGACCTATAGAACGAGAGTCATTCGACACAACCTTAATCCCGTCTTCAATGAGAAGATGATCTTTCAGGTCCTCAGACGTGAAGAGACCTACTCCCTCTCCTTTACCATAATTGACCGGGACAAGCTATCTGGCAATGATTTCATCGCCTCCGCCGTACTCCCCCTTACAGACATCACCGACACGGCTCTAGAAGCCGACCCCGACACTGGGCTTTACGCTTTAAAAGACCCTCCAGATGCCAGCGCTCTGCCGTCCCAGCCAAACAAATCACGCTTCAAATTGCCACTATCACGCTCAGCATCTTCACAGAATCTGAAAATGTCACGGTCGACCGCAAGTGCAAAGAGCAGTGGGACAAATTTGTCGACAGTTCAAGCGAGCGATTCAGGATCAACAACACCGGCGCCGACAAATGCACCGACGAGCACTCCTGGTGCGCTTCAAACGGGTGATAATATACCTCCTCCAAACGCCGTTGACGATACCGAAGTATCGAACGAGCGTGGTGATCCCGACTTACATCCTTTCGTTATTCCTCTAAAACTAAAGAACGCGGAGAAATGGGAAGAGAAGCATAGCCCTATGTTATTCATCAAGGCTAAATATGTTCCTTACCCGGCTCTTCGTCAGCAATTCTGGAGAGCCATGTTGAAGCAGTACGATACCGACGAAAGTGGACGCATCAGCAAAGTCGAGCTAACGACCATGCTTGATACGCTTGGCTCGACATTAAGGGAATCTACCATCGAAGGCTTCTTCAAGCGCTTTCATGATCCAACCGTGCATGGTGACGAGCCAAATTCTGATTTAACTATTGACCAGGCAGTCATTTGTTTAGAAGATCAGCTCTTTGCTGCAAGGTCCAGGCAGCCAAGTGTCGTGAGTGAGAGGGTAAAAGTATCTGGTACTGCTCCGGCCAAGAGCCCCGTCCCGCAGCAGCCTGAAGGCGCAGGTGGACAAACCTCAACGCCCCCAAGCCCACCCACCGCAGCAGAAAGTTCAACGTCAGCAAGCTCCGGGAATGTTACACTTGTGGATCCATCACAAATTGGAGCTGAATTGCAGACAGTTGAAAATCCCGAGGCTCCTGCCGAGGAAGGCGAATTCGACAGAGATGATCTCAACGACAAGGATGAAGAACATGTGGTTGAGATCAGAGAATGTCCAATTTGCCATCAACCTCGCCTGAATAAGCGCTCCGATGCAGACATCATCACTCACATCGCCACATGTGCCAGTCAGGATTGGCGTCAAGTGAACAATATCGTCATGGCCGGCTTCGTAACATCCAGCCAAGCGCAACGGAAATGGTACTCCAAAGTCATCACCAAGATATCCTACGGAGGCTACAAGCTCGGTGCCAACTCTGCCAACATCCTGGTGCAGGATCGCATCACGGGCCAGATTAACGAAGAACGCATGAGCGTCTACGTGCGCCTGGGAATCAGATTACTGTATAAAGGACTGAAATCTAAGGATATGGAAACCAAGAGAAGTATGTGGGGCTCTTTTAATCTCTCTTATCCGGTGCAAATCCTCTAGATCTGTTGCTAATAACCTACTAGTTCGGAAGCTCCTTCGCGGATTGTCCTTCAAACAAGGTGTCAAATACGATGACCCAGCATCTAAGGCCGAGATCCAGAAATTCATCAATTTCCACCGGCTAGACATGTCCGAAGTCTTGCTTCCGGTAGAGAGCTTCAAAAATTTCAACGAGTTCTTCTACAGACAGCTAAAGCCGGGTGCGAGACCTTGCTCTGCACCAGATAACCCGAAGATCATTGTTAGCCCGGCGGATTGCAGGAGCGTGGTGTTCAACCGTATGGATGAAGCGACCAAGATCTGGGTTAAGGGCCGCGAGTTCTCAATCGAACGATTACTGGGAAATGCGTACCCAGAGGACGCAAAACGGTATACCAATGGTGCTCTCGGGATCTTCAGGCTCGCCCCGCAAGATTATCATCGTTTCCACATCCCAGTTGATGGTACTTTGGGCACACCCAAAACCATCGAAGGAGAATACTATACGGTTAATCCGATGGCAATCAGATCGGCGCTAGACGTGTACGGCGAAAACGTCCGCGTGGTGATCCCCATTGACTCGGTTGCGCATGGGAGAGTCATGGTTATCTGCGTAGGGGCTATGATGGTTGGAAGTACCGTGATCACGCGCCAAGCAGGCGAGGAAGTGAAACGAGGAGAAGAACTCGGGTATTTCAAATTTGGCGGTAGTACTATCCTCTTGTTATTCGAAGAAGGCACTATGAAGTTCGACGAAGATCTGGTGAATAACTCTAACATGGCGTTGGAGACCTTGGTACGTCTCCTCCCCTTTCTCTTTCTTCACTCTTTTTTATCTCCAGATGAGTGTGGGACTGATGATGCCACAGTTGAGAGTCGGGATGTCGATCGGCTACCATCCGTCAGAGACACAACACACGCCTGACATGCGCAAGAAAGACGAGGACATCACGGAGAGCGAGAAAGCGGAAGCCAAGAGGAGGATCGAAGGCTCGATTCAGACGCCTGGCAATGGACCAGTTGCTAGCATGGCCGGCTAGTTTTCTTTTCCTGAAAAATCACGGTGTTTGGGGAAGGGCGGTTGTCTTTGCTTTTTTAATTTCGTTCCCTTTCCAACCTTCAATATAATGCGGAGGTCCGGGTGGTCTTGCTTGCATCGCAACGTTCAACAATATGAAGTGCTCGGGTTGGATGTTGCAAATTCTCTTCTTGTGTCTTTTTTTGTCGTTGAGCGAAAGTTACGAGAGCGTGTTGTGTTTTTGGGGGATTGCTTCTCAATCGAACGAACGGGATGGTTGACCGTTATTCTTAACAACCAGATTCGATTCAAAAGGAAAAAAAAAGAGAGAAAATTAAAAAAAAGTGGCGGGGGATAGGGAAAAACAAAATAGGCTTTCATGCATAGGTTCTATAGAAAGTATGACCTGATGATGAATAGTATATGTCCGATACACTCGTATATATAAGGTGCATGCAGGTGGAAGGAAATCTTTCCCTTTCCTTCCTTTCACTTTCCTCTTAGATGGAATTTGGAAGTAGGGAACGGTTGTATGTTATTTAATTAGTTAGGTTCGGAGAGGCAGGGAGGGAGCACTTCGTATAGGTAGAAATTCAACATAAACCTCAATTCATCATGGTATGCTTTTTTGTGCTGTAAGTAACCCACCCCTCCGGAGAATTGTGGTAAGGCAGCGTGCGGTGCGTGCTTTGCGATAGACTGAATAGGTATATTTAGATAGTTTAGCGCCTGGAGGTAAGAAGGGGTGTGTGAGGTTGATTCAGGAGCATGGGTAGGTGGGTGGGTAGGTGGGTGGATTTGCTTTTTGAGAGGTGGTAGGAAGGAAGGTAGGAAGGATGGATGGATGGGTGGATGGAAAGGGGGGAGAGGTGTTTGACTTTCTTTGGTGGATTGATTGATTTTTGGTTTTTGTTTTTTTTGCTCTGGTTATGAGAGACAGGTAGGTATCTTACAGTAAGGTAGGTAGGTACACACCCATATTATATCAATCAACATATATACCTCATCCATCCATCCATCCATCTTCATTAATATCTTACATCTTCCCTTCCCCCTTTCCGCCGCGGGTTCACTATTCATTCACGCCCTCAAAGTATCATACCTACTCTTCCCCCTAATCTTACGGCCATACCTAAACAAAACCCAGGGGATCGGCATCATAGCCACCGTGATAAACGCCAACAGGCTCGTCGCCCATCCGATGCCCAACCTACCATACATCTGCAGCGCGAAGAGCGGGAACGCGGCGCCGAGCGAGAAGCGCAGGAGTCCGTTCGCGGCCATGGCGCTGGCGCCTGTGGATGCTTGGTAGGTGTCGACGAGATACGTGGCTGCTGCTGTGTCTCGTTAGTCAAATGAGGAGGGGATTTTGGATGGGGTGAAAATTTGGATGGGGTGAAAAGAAAGGGGGACAAGAAAGGCATACAGATGAATATGCTCAGATTCCCCCACGCGAAAGGCACAGCGGCAACGACGGGGCTGGCCCAGTGGACGTCCTTGCGTGCGGACCACGCGAACCAGAAGAGTCCGGTGGGGACCCCGAAGGAGCCCAGCATCGCGGGGTATAAGCGGTGTTCTGGAGCGACGATCCCGGTCTTCCCTCCTTCTTCTTTCTGGCTTTGCCGGGCCCGGGGTTGGTACATGTACCGATCGCATAGGAGACAGGTGGGCACGGCGAGGAGAGAGCCAACGCCGATAGCCAAGAAGACGAGTCCTGCATCCTCGGTGCTGAAAGCGTAGACGGATTTGAAGACGTAGGGAAAGGCGGCGAAGAAATTCAGGAGGATGGAGAAATTAAATGCGACGTAGAAAGAGAGGAAGCCGACGATGGGCTCGGTGAGGAGCATGTGCAGAGGCCGGAGGAGCGTGACGGAGAGGAGGAATCTGATTCTGGCTGCGGGCGTGGGGAATGAGGACGGCGGGGGCGGGATGCCGAGCTTTTGGTTCCGGCGTTGGATGATGGTTTTCTTGTGGGTTTCCTGGACGAACAGGAGGGAGAGTTGGGCGAAGATGGCGAAGCATATGAGCGTCCATTGGGTCCAGCGCCAGCCTTTGCGGACGGTGACGAATGAGCCAATCACTGGTCTAAGTCTGGTCAATATCCCTTCAAGGATAGTGAGTGAGAAGACCTACCCCAAGGAAGGTCCTAGGAATAGACTCAAAATATAGAAACACGTGGGTACAATTCGGGTTTCGGCTCTGTTGACGTCTGCAATGGAGCCTGCTCCTATTGCAAGGGCAGGTGAGAATGTCAAGCCGGCGAAGAAGCGCAAGATGCACAGTGTCCAAATATTCTGTGAGAACCCGGCACCCATGGTGAAGAGAGCACCCAGTGGTCCCGAAAACAGATAGACAACATATCTCCCATATGTTTCTGAGATGGGAGCAGCGAGCACGGGTCCAGATCCCAGGGCGAGCACATAGAGTGACAATGGGAGCAAAGCCACGGTGGAACCAACATGGAAATCCCGCTGAATGATGGGAAAAGCTGGAGAGTAGAGTGAAGTGCCAATGGTCCTACGGCCATTAATAATAATTCCAGCACCAGCAACAGACAGGATCCTCTTACTCACGCGGTGAAAGATATCAATGCAGGAGGGACGGCATGAAGATATCGTTTCCTTGCAGGCCAGTTCAAGGGATTGTCTGGATCATCTGGCCCACTCCAGTCCAGGGGATCGACTGGAAGACTCTGAGGCTCGTTGCCTTTTTCCGCATCTTCCACACCATCGACAGATGCAGGTTCTTCCATACTGGAGCGGTGGAATCCTTGATTCCTAGTTTGGGACAGAGGGGTACATATAGTAAGTGTCCTTCTGGCCGGGAACCCGGCAATTGAAGATGGGACCAGATGCTGCAAGAAACATATAGGAAAGTAAACAAGACACGGAAAATGAAGCATATCACCATGAGGCTCCCTTTCCACAAACCATCGTTGGTCCAAGTTGCACCATCTTCGTGGGGCATTAGTCCTCTGCGATTACTGATCGGTCGTTCCTATAGGGTTAGCCGCGGTGATCAGAACCACGAAGATCGAATGAAATTTGATTCCGGATTCGATTCCATGCGGAGTAAAACAAAGTTGTGCATCTCCACGGCCCGCGCTTCCATTATTCTAGTCTCTCGGCGGGGCGGAGGGGAATGCGGGTGCCGGGTGGTAACCAACGACCATTCAGAGAAGGCAGATGACAAGCCATTATTCACAGAACGCGGGTCGGTCTGATGTGCTAAGTAGACGCGGAACTTTAACCTGCTTATGGTGAACAATGCTCGTTTGTTGGTTTATGTTTCATGTTCAGTAACTCTTTTGCTTTTAGTACCTATCTGGCTGATGTTGCTTCCTGCAAGTAGAAAGATTAGTGTCTATAAGGTACCTTAAGGTATACTATGATCGTCGACCTCGCTTAGGTGTGTCGAGTTTTCGCATTTGCTGTACCTTAAGTTGACAAAAGCGAAATTTCTATAGTATCTATATCGAAGAAGTACATAAAAAGATTCTTAGCTATAATGCAGAGGTTTTCACTGTTTAGTGCTTTGGAATACGTTATATCTACAAGGTAGGTTAGATCATGGATTTATTTAGGGTTAGATCTTATGCACCCTAACCTACCCCATGGGGTAGATACCTTACCCAACCCATTTCGTGGGGACCCATGGGTTTCTGCGCAGCTTAATTATTATCCATACAATCAACATCTTCTTCTTTTACAAACAACAACACCTTTTTTCATTCGCACCTATTCGTCTTCAACATGGCATCTATTGCAACGCCATCGCCCCAAAAAGGCCGCCCAGCCTTGCGTCGAAAGAGCGCATCACCTTGGAAGACCAAAAAAGTCCATCCTTATGGACCATACGCATCCACGCCTTCATTAACTCAAAACCTTCCCGAGAAGGTCACCAGAATCCAGTTGCCATTCAGCCTTCGGAACAGCAACGGCGGAGGACGTAATGTAGCTAAGGGCGAGTTTTCCGCTATCAAAACCGTGTTCCCGACTGCACTCAGCACAATTTACGTATATCCATATCTCGTCGTACGTGTGAAAGAGCTGCCTCCGCAGCCTTGGCCGACCTTTATCGGCGACATTCCACTGTGGTTGACGGACAAGGCCGAAGGAGGGATACCGCTTGATTTCGGTGAGAGTCCTCGTCTACATTCGAGCTTAGAGTTCACTGTCAAGGGAGAGATCCGCGATTATCATGTCCCAGCTCCAGACACAATATGGGAAGTCTACAATCTCGTGAATGGAAAGGGCGCTGGGGTTGATAGTATTCGCTTCAACGGAATGCGATTTCTTGCATTGGGGGAGAATGAGCCAGCTGCTGGATGGAGGAACGTACTCCCAACGCGAATTAACGGCTACAAAATGGGTTATATCTGGGGCAGATCTGGCAAAAAGGAGCATGCATTTCGGCGCAATCTACCTGCAACTACTGTGAAGGATGATTCTGATTACAGATCTCAGGGTGAGATTCTCCGACCTGGTGTTCTAGTGGAAGGATTATACAAAATGGAGGGACAGGGTCACTTCTCTTCAGTTATCACCACTTCCGGAGTCTGTGTCGAAGGCCCAGGGGGAGAAAAGAGGATCACAGTATCTAGGTATGGATTTCCTCTTGAATCGCACCAAGAAGTCTATCATCCTTCCGCTCAGCCGGCCCCCAATTTCGCAAACAAGATTGGGAAAGTCGATAAGGTGTTTGGAGTTACTGACATCGCCCTAGTCAAACTTGAGGACGGTCTGAGCTACGCCGCAGAAACGTTTTCAGAGCACTCCGAAACGGGATTGCCCTTTAATGCGCGTCCATTCCGCAACTTGCGAGACCCCGAAGGTCTCCGATATGGCGATTCAGTATATATGAACACAGCCGTCAACGGTCTATGCGAAGGAGCACATGTAGACACCGATTGGAAAATTGTCCAAGGACCTGGTGGGCAAGAGGCACACATGGAGATCGGGACCTTCCTCTACTGGGGAAATGGCCAAGTGGGAAACCTTTTCGAGGGCTGTTGTGGTGGGGTAATTTGGGACGAGAGTTTCGATGTCATCGGACAGTTGCATTATGTTGAGGAGGCGGATTCCCACGACCGAAAGCTTTCTTATGCGCCGTCCTTTCTGCCGTTGATCAAGGAGGGCTATCAACTCTCGAGCATCTAATGGCAATTACTGAGATGGCGTCAGTTACGGGGATGCAGTTGGGAATTGCACGGGCGAAGTAAACATGTGGCGTCTGCCATTCCAAGCTTCGTTGTGATGGCCCAAGGTCCACGGTCCATGGTCAGCACGTAACCTTAGATATGGGGGACTCGGGGAGATCCGCGATAATAGGGGGTTGATCGAGTAGCAAAGTAAGGTAGTAAGGTAATCAGGCCGTAATACTAGTATTACCCGATTAGGAAATCAATTCATCGCGTTTAACCGTCTAGTTTCTAACATCAAGCCATTGCCTAAAGCAAAGAAGATCATTTTAATTGCCAATATAACTAAGTAGTTATCTTTACAGACGTGGATCTCTAAACTGCCTTTCTACTTAGTCGTTACATCTCGAATAGTTTATTGCCAGTGGTACAGTAGTGCTTTACAGGCTTACAGCGAGGTTACAGCAAATGCTTCAGGCGCAGTGGCGGTGCGCCCATCATCGTCATTGCAATGTCTGGGTTTGAAAAGCAAGACACGGCATCAACCTTGTCATTTCAGACGAATAGTCTACATCCCCTCATTGATCGATTCTCTTATCAAGTTATCAGTCAGATTTGACGTTCAAATGTATAACCCCAGCCACAGACGTCTACGTCAGTATCGTCCTTCAGGTGCCCGAGGCGCAGTCTTTCCCTTGGGCCCCTGTCCAGCTCAAGTTCGCCCTAGCAGATGGCAACAGATCGATTAAAGCTTAAAGGACACGCTAATTAAGAGGCCGTCCACATAAAGAAGCAGGTGAAATCTGACCAGTTTCAGATATCAAAGGCCCAAGGACGACTCTCTGTTTTCTGGCCAGACAAGCCTTGACAATAAACCTGATCTGTTCTACGCAGATGGAGAGTAAGGTACCTAAGGTAAGGCGTGGGGTGAGGTGGCGGGGAGTCACGTGTCGTGGCTTGTGTAGGAATTCCTCAAGGATTGCATTGGCGTTTGCTTTTCCTGGCTTCGTCAAATATCCATCACGAGGGCTATGTACTGCCATGTACATGTGAATTGAGAGGCTGGTCCAAGGAATGGCGAGTGCATTTGGTTCAAAAGCCAACCTATTACAGGCAAGACTGTGAAACCATGTTGGCGATCTCACCCATCAGCCACGATGTGAACGCTGGTTTGCTCTCTGCGCGGATCAAGGGTCTCTGCAGGGCAACAAAAGCCTATGACGCGGAATGGCTATTGTCCATGTTCGTGGTTGTAAGATCGAGAAAGCTCCTAGCCACTAACATTGTACTGCAAAGTCTGCAATAACAGAAACCCTACGCATTGGCTGGTACCTTTCATAAATAAAACCTGCCCTCTGCTGTCTGCGCAATCTCTCTTTGCTTCTTTTTGCTATCTTCTTCTTAAACAAACGCCTACACAGTGAATAAGTAATATTTACTGAATAATAAGGGTGGTTCGCTTAGAATTGTCTTCACTTCTTCGTACTCCCTGAGCCAGCCTTTCGCACATCCACCCCTCCTCAATAACAAGAACCTCAAAACCGCGAAGGAGAAAGTCAACACCGTCAAGATGCGTGAAACTGGTTTCTTTCATCATCTTGGAACCTTCCTCCTCCTCGCTGCCTCCATTCTCCTCCTGATCACCACTATCTCCGCCCCTGTCGTTCATGATATTGCGATCTTGAAGGTGACGCTCACGAACAGGACCAACTTCCGCCACTCGTCCGTTACTTTTGGTACCTTTGGTCACTGTGTTCTTGGTGTCGCTCCCGCCCAGTACGTTCATCTATCTCTTCCTCATCTCTAACCTAGTACAGATCTAACGAGACAAACAGGACTGACCAGGACTACTGCTCCCCTAAACACATTAGCTACAACCCCTCCGCCATCATGGCTCAGATCGATGGATCCTCCTTCAGTACCGCCTCCGAAGATACCACGAAAAGACTCACTCGCGTCATGATCCTGCACCCGATCGCCTGTGGCTTGGCATTTATTGCATTCCTTCTCGCCCTAGGCTCAGGCATGTTCGGCACATTCCTCGCATCCCTAGTCTCTTCCGTGACCTGCGTCCTCGCAATGATTGTGATGGCAACAGACTTTGTCACCTTCGGCCTTGTCAAGAGACACGTAAACCACGATAACAGCGGCAGCCACGCATACTACTCGGCCGGCATGTGGACCCTTGTCGCTGCTGTGATCATACTCTTCTTCGCTAGCTTGATTGTGTTCCTGTCATGCTTCTCAGCTAGGATGCATGGAGGAGGAGGCGCATCCAAGGGGAATGGATATGTGGGTGCACAGGCAGCTACTACTCCGACTCGTCCACGTCGACGCTTCTGGCCACGAAGAACTCGATATTAGAGATCTCGCTTTTCGGCTATCGGCGCATAGAAGAGACCAAGATCGAGGATACAAAAATGGGTTTCTATTTGCATTTCCATTTGCTTTGTGGGTGGGGATTTTATGAAGCGTGAAAGTCTTGAAGTTCTTTTCAGCGGGCGAGGGTCGTTCATGCGTGCATAATGGATGCATCTGAAGATACCCAATCACTCATGAACCTTTACGACAACTTAAATAGTTTCTTTGCGCAATGATACCAAATGAAAATCAATGTCTCAAACACTAACATTCCAAACTTCTCTTCTTTCCAACTCAGAACTGCATATATAACAAATTGCGCTTGCTATCCACGACAGAACAGGCAAATCCTCAAAAACGCACCGCTCGAGTACCGACTACAGAGCATGCCAACTGATACCTTAGGTATTACAGATGGATTTAGAAATTAGAAGCACGTTTTAGCAGTTTTTTCTTTCTTTTCCTTTCTTTCTAAGATCACATGAAGTCATAGAACAAGCTAGCTAAATCCCAGCTCAACGAAACATTCTAAATTCAATCCTGCTGTTATTTTGGCATAAGTACAGCAGCAGCTTCCCAATTCACATAAGTTAAGGTTAGACAAACACTTAGCACTATATATAACTGCTTCAAATAATACATCTTCTACACAAGATCTCCCTTAAGAGCAGCAAATATTGAAGTCTGAAATAATGGAGAGACGAGTAATTGATAATATATTAATATGTGGTAATTCTTTGATGGGCCGTGGAAGGAACAGGAACTCGAGGATTATCGTAAGCTGTAATAACAAGCACTTAGTGATTTAAGTTACTTACTTAAGGTAATCTGAGTACATAAGGTATCCTTAGCAGGTAGAGAGTAGTTCTAGGGGTACATGTTGGTCATACCCCTATTTTACCCCTGAAGCTTGCTACCTATTAAGCGAGATACTGCTCAGACTTACCTTGCTCTGTAAAAAGCCTAATTAATATAAGACAGGTAGGTAGAGTTAAATAAGGTAGAATAAAGGGTGTTTAATCTGTGCGATCTTGGAGTACCTAGGGAGTCACTGATCACGATTATTGAATCAATCCTCTCCTACCTTACCTACTTTACGTAAATTCGCCCATTCCTTTACTATAGAACCCTGTACGTAGATTCTCACGTTTTGAAGTTTTCGAGTAAAGAGATAAGAGACTTGAAATCTTAAATAAGCTGTGAAGTATACAAATAAAGTCCATTTCACACCGTCGAATGCGAATGCTCGAGTCCTAGAACTTAATGTGTGAACTAACTTAGCAGCTTTGAGTTATAATCACATTATTATCTATTTCCTTCCGCCTTACATCAATCAACTCAAGATAAGAAAAGTTACCTACCTTAGTTATCCCCCACTATCATTTAGCATACTAGAAGAGAAAGGCAGAAACAGTCTGCTATCCCACTTATGCCTACCCACTAAGCCTCCTCCTCCTTGCCAAGTGAACACTTGTTTCTAATAGGTCCGGATGGCGTCCAGAATAGATATAATGCTGAAGATCAGAAAAATCCTCCGAGTTTCAAGCAGTCAGTTAGTAGGCAGCTACGCCACTCGTTAATTGGGATCCGATGGGCTGGGTGGCCCTTGTCTGGGGAGAGGCCGAGCTGTGAAATCTCACTATCCCGCGCTCACTGTATCCACGGTAAGACGCGGCAGAGGATTTGTAAATTGTACCATCCTTGAGCTAGTCCTTGGATTGATGCTTGGGGCTGATACTGTGTATACGAACATCGCGATTATTCGTGACGGTGGGTTTGGAGGTGGAGTTATTTTCCCCAGTGCCCGCTTGGTGTACGCAAAAGATGTATTGGAATTTGTGTAGTATTGAGGCTCCCCAAGACGGTATGATGCGGCTCGATGCTACTTCAACCGTTTATAATATCCTCGCTTCATGCAGACTCGACCATAACGACAACAACCATCAAAGATATATGGGAATTATATGATGGTCCCATGCCAACCAGACATTACATCCTCCATCCTCACCCTAAACCCTAAAGCCAACAGCGCCTTGAATGCCCCAAAGAATCCAGACCTGACTCCCAAAACCCGCATTTCATTTCGCTCCCTGTTCAAGAAAAGTCTCCGAGCCGCTTATTTCTAAGAGTCTTTGACCTCGTCCGTGGATCCGGGCTTGTTCGATCGAGAGGAGCTGGGCTTGCTGTCATAGCTGCTAATCATCACTTCCTGAAACTCAAACTTTGGTGGATAGCCGGGACATTGCCAGCCACTGCGGACACAGTTCACGCATGCAGGTTCCGAACGATCACACTGGGGGTTTGATCAACTTTATGAAGCCTGGGAAGGGGGACAAAGAGACTTTGGGTCTAGAAAGGGGAGAGTATGTAACGTACCTTGATCTTCCGCTTTCGGCATGTATCACACCCAGTATTCCGCCCCATAGCTGGAATTCTTGTACCACAAATATCAGCCTAGCTTTTAGCACGCGCTTGTAAGACTTCAAGACAACAACCCGCGTATTTGAAAAGGAGAGAAGAGCTTGAGAAGAGAAATAAGAGAGATAGACATAGCTGAGAGGTAGGTCGTCTGATATACATGTATTCTCAAGAACTCCGCTCAGCGGAATGATATTCAGCTAGGTATAGGATCACGAGCTCAGACCCCACCCATCAGCATCCCCGCCCTACTTGGCAAGCCTTCCGAAGGGCATGGTGCGCTTGGTATGAGAAAGGAAATGTGGAAACTTGGTCAGCAAGAAAGGTGCGGTCAAGCGTGAGGAAACTATCTAGTCCTCGCCTCATTGGCACGTTCGGTCAATTTCTCGTTCCGATGCGGCTATCTAGGGAAATAAGTGTTTGAGACTGCCCAGACACTTTTTCTCTCATTTATGTCAAGCGTTAGATTGTTTCATTTTTATGTTTGGTGTTCCAGAGTCGAAGACTGCGCATTTGTGTAAGCTGTAACTTAATCTCTTCTAACGTGCTGCCGTTTGCGCGGCTTCAAACACTTAGACTTGGTCGGAAAGTGTTCTCGGGAAAGGTAAATATACCCGATAGATGTCAGACAACCACACACAGGAGTGAAATTGACGTTATAAGAATTTTGGAGACGTGTAAGTAGACAAAATAGTGATAAGAAATGGATATATCGTCCAGTTTTACGCCTAGTCTTACTAGCACAGCGTAATTCCCCAACTGGGGGTTTGACGATCCTTGAGCCTCCACGAATATCCCATGTTTGACCCATAGACAGGCTGAGCATATCAATCACAATCTGACTTGTGACTTGTAAGAAAGGGTATGTATATACGAGGAGGGGAACAGTTCAAGTGACCCCAAAGTCTAGATCTGCGCACATTACCAAACAAGTTGCGAAGGTGGATCCGCGCATCTGGACGTCAAAATCATGCAACAAAGGGCGGGCAACTCTACCAACGCCATTGACGCGTGAAGGAACATTGAAGAAAAAAGCTGCACGTGGCAAAGCATGGATCTGGGGTCCTGAAGACCGACAAGACATCGGTGGGATCTCGCGTAGGGATCGCAGATCTATAATTATGTACCATAAACTGGGGACCAGCAACTTAATTTAAGGTCTCGCGAAGGTTAATATTGTAAAAATAGAATAACGTATACGTTGTATGAACAGCTCGAAGGAAGCAAAGTTATCAAATTAATCAATCAACTCACTCAACGTTGAAAGAGGCTCTTTCATTGGCCAGATCGGGTAAAAAGACACGACGCGTAAGATCACGTGAAATGGACTACCAAATCAACAACTGCCTACTCAAACTCCACGATTATACAGCGAATCAGCGAGATGCCATAGTCGGCTACACTCTCCTTCGTACGGTGGATACATAATGCATGACCCTCATAATGTCGTCCAACAGGGTCTCTCACGAGCTCGACGCGGCAACTGAGCCCTCCTGAGTTTCCGTTGGCTGGTTCGGGGCCCCACAACACGCCCTCCCACATGGCACACACATGGCAGCAGAAGCAGCCAGGATCGCAGTCCCCAAGGATCAGTAGTCTGGCAGCTTCCAGAAGGATGCACACGGCGACACAAGTACCGTGCTGCTGGGCCCGCTGACGCCCACGGGACGGGGTCCAGGTGCTCAATGTCATCTGGGTAACGGCCCAGAAGGCTTAACAGAGCGTCGAGCCTCTCTGCATCTACTCGTCATCTCTCAGCATACCCCTCTTTTGACCTGTCCACGCAGGCTGCCCAAGGCAGGCTGAAGATTTGCCTATCATCGCTTACGGTATCTCATTTGGGATATTCATTGCTGCTCACGCTGGAGGCGAAGTACATAAGTCTCGTGAATGCCTCATCCTTCGGGGAGAGCCGGCTTGTCATCCGGTGGTCAAGACAGGGGAGGAGGCGGGCCGAACCTGATAACCCCCGGGCCGCTGTGGAGAATGGGACGGATGGTGTTGCCGCTGGGCGGAGGCGCGAAGGATTGGAATGGATGCTTGAGGTGGAGGCCGACAGGGAGGAAGAAAGTTGCACTCCCTCTCCATCTCCGTCCTTCATCTATTCCCTCTCCACTTTGGACCTTATCTCATCCCACTCCTCCGCACTTATCGACCTATCCGCTATGGTCTCTAACCTTTCATCCTTCAAGTCCTAGAGTTTGGTTTCATGTACGGTATGTATCATTTACTTTCCCCTGAACTCCCCGCTCAATCACCCATCAACCATCAGCTATAAAGAAGCCAAAGATCACAGAGCTCTGAACCTCTCTGGGTATTTGAATCCATTTCTTTGATTTTTTCTGCTGCTTCTTCATCTGGTAAACGAATTTTCGGGATTTTCCTTCCAGATACCGCAGGATATCTGTAAGTTTGCAGAAAGGCCCAGGAGACGAATTAGTGATCCTCTACATTTGCTACCTGCTAGGAATTTCCAGAGGTTGTCTGTCGTTAGATACGCAGAACATGAACAGACTCTTGAGGAGGGCCTTTGAGATCGAACCTATGAGCTCCTTCAGTTCTTCAGCACAGGAGATTCTGTGGGAGCCTCAGATGGAAGATTCAGACAAGCTTTTCTAGAAGTTTGTGATAGCCATTTTTCATCGCCAGCGACATCCTAAGGTGACAGAACTCCGCGGTGAAATGCTCGACGATGATAATGTGGAGAAATACGGTCAATATTGAAGTCTTTCGTGCAATTGCAGACCGTGAGACGTTCCGCAAGGGGATTGTCGAAATCATCTGGGATGATGCTTTTCTGGTAACATCCCTGCAGAGGGAGGACGCTTATCTCTATGACGAACCCGAGGATGATCCAGTGGAAGGATGTCCATCAGGTTTTGTGCGGGCGTGCAAGGGAAATATCAAGCGGCTCAAGGATCGCAAGCTTGAGGATTTGAACGGCCTTCCGGGCCACGCTGCAAGGGCGCAGCAAGTCGCTGCGCAGCTACCGCTAAAGAAGTCGTGGGAATAATATCAGGAGCTGCAACAGCAGCAGGAAGAGATCCTCTCATCCAAGGCCGGCATCGAAGCCCTTAGGTATGACCTCCAGCGATTCCCTTCGCTCAGGAGAATTACCATCAGGACTACAGCACGTCAGCCTTCAGACCAACGTTGAAGCCGATCCAGATGCTCAGGCCACACAGCCATGGAGCGGTGGGGCGATTGAGCACTTCAGCCCACTGCGCACGATCTTCCCAGTCGACAAGTGGCCACGGCTTCGCCACTTTGGGCTCTCGAGATTTCTAGTTAAGCAGGCCGACGTGCTTGCTCTGCTCGCTGCGCTCCCGGTAACGCTGCGCTCGGTCGAGCTGAGCTTCCTAGAGTTCCTCGATGATGGCGGCACCTATAGAGACCTTCTCACTGATATGCGCGACGAATTGGGCTGGCAGGAGCGAGCGACTGCCTCGAGACCGAAGGTCACCATCGGTGTGCCCCTGACTAACACGATGCCTGGGCGTGCGGTCTGGATTGACGATGAAGTCGATAACTTCCTCTATGGCAGCGGGGAAAATCCGTTCGGGGCCAAGGGCGAACGCAACCCAAATAATGTAGCTGCTGGGAGAGGGATGGTATGGGATGCGTTTGACCCGACTCATGAACGGCCCTGGGCGTCCCGTGCGGCCCTAATACGTCTAGGTATATTAAGAAAGTGCCTTGGCTGCTTGCTCAAGAGGACGCGAGATTGGCAGCTGGAAGTTCACGGGCAGAGCAATAACAGAGATGAATTCGGTAAGTTGTGAGGCTGAAGGACCAGTCACGTGCGAATAAATAGAACTATCGAAATGGGCTCCGCAACCATTGCACTTGTTTCTAATTTTAATCAGTGACAATAGTTATAACCGACTTGAGACGGGTCCCCTGTTCACCCTTTACTCACCTGTTTCCCGCCTTTGCCTTACCCTTACTCACCTGAGCTCACGTTGATAGGGCGGTCTTGCTCAACCTTCTGCACAAAAGCAGGTTTCATTGGAATTAGATTCAGATTTGATAACCAGTTGTTATAATCTTGGGAATCCAGTCGGTTTTAGTTGAGTTGGAGAATTCGGGGGCCCGGGTGTGATCCGGATCAGCAAAAAAGAACGCCGTGTCGGTCGGACATCGGCAGAGAGCTTTTTGGAGAGTTTCGGGGCTCGATGTCTACCTGTATTATGTCCGAAGTCAAGGTGGTCAATCACCCCTTTGATTCCGTGCCCCTACACGCGCTCCGTTTCTGTCGACAATTGGATTGTCATATAAGATCGTTGAAAGATTAGTCCTAAGAGAGGATAGTATGTAATATAACATCAAGGAACAAATGCATCAATGAAACACTTGGTTACAAGAAAAGCAACAGAAGAGATAGGATGTTGGTTTTCCAGGTGCCATGTGAGTCTCGGACCTACATAGTCAAACTTCGCATCCCTACAGGTATAGTATCACACCTGAAGACAGACAGATATGTGAACAATTCATTTTCCCCTGCATCATGCAATTCACAGGAATGAAGTTCTTCGTCATTGGGATGTAGTGGAAGGGAGGTATGACCGTACAACCAGACACAGGCAGGAACATGCTGTCGTCATACAGTGATTGAGACCCGAGAAGGTCGGGAACACATGAAGAGAGAATAAACAGAATGCCATTTAGTTGTAGTGCTTGATCTTCCACGCCCTTGGCTGGACACAAATATTGCAAGTATCGTCAACTGATACTTGAAAACAGACTTGAAAATGCAATCAACCAGGTAGTGTTCACAGAAGTTAGTTGAACCATGAATAGAAGAGCAGTCCACACCTTGATAAACAACTCGTAACTCTGCCGTAGAGCCTCGTGCACTCGCACGAGAGATGATCGATGCAGTACTGCAGTGCAGCATGTTGGGAGAGACGAGAAAGTGAACAGAGATTGTAATTAGCATTTGTCATCACAGCCGCTAGCCGCCCCACGTGACCGGGCCCCTTTGCCCATTTGCCGATCAACACAATCTGAGGCTGCGCATTCTCCCCAAGCGAGGCACTCGAGGCTGTCTGCTGTCTTCTGCACAAGGCTCTCGAATTCAAACCACCCCCCCAACCTTTCTTCATCACCACTCTCTCTGCCCAACACTCAATCATCACCATCATCCCGTCGCGGAATACTGCTTTCTTAACTCTGCATCTGCTGCTCCCACGTAATTGTCGCTGGGAGCCTTCGCGTCGGCCTTGCGGCGATGGAGCCTTCTAACAAGAAACGGCGTCTCGCCCCAAAACAACCTCTCCACGAGCAGGTAGGCTGCTCATTGTGCTCACTTCTCTGCTCGGTCAACTAACAGCTGTTTAGTCACCGCAGGCACATTATGATTATCAGCCTATGCCGTCTGTTCAAGACGCAGCCGCCCCTCCCGAGCGCAGCGACTTCGAGTCCTTTGCTCGACATCTGCAGGACGCGGCGATGCTCATCTATGCGCAAGCCAACCGATCCCCATATACGAGTGTCTCGGTTCTCCTTCTACGATGGGAAGATGACTTGGGTGCCGAGAAGGACCTTTTGCAGCTGCAGAAGGTTTTCCGCGACCGCTTCAATTATCGAACCGAGTCGTGGTGTATACCCAGTTGTCCGAACCCAAGTGTCAAGCTCACGATGCAAATGGCACAACATATCGAATATGCCAGAGCTGACCACCTGTTGATTGTGTACTATGCTGGTTATGGCTTTGTTGGCTCCGACCATCACTTATACTGGGCCTGGTACGACACGCACATGGCAAACCTTTTTGCAAAAGCTGATATAACAATAGCAATGCTCGAGAGGACGCATCTAAACTCAAGTGGGAAGGCATTAGATGCCTTCTTGAAGACGCACAATCGGACATCCTTCTTCTACTCGATACTTGTGCAATCACCGATGCTCCTGCTGCCGGCAGTCACGGTGTGAAACAGGCTATTGCAGCTTATAGTCCTGACCATGCAGCACGCGAACCGGGCTCTCGATCATTCACCTATCACTTGATTGAAGCTCTTAATAAATTAGGCAATGGTCGTCCTTTCAGTATACAGCGACTCCATGAGGAAATAATATCGCAGAAACACAACCGCATCCTACAACAAGCCGGCCTCACCAATGGCACTGGAAAGGGTGCCTCTGCACACGAGAGGATGCCAGTGTGTTTCACATTGACAGCTGGTACCTTGCAAAGTATTGTCATATCACCTCTGGGTTCACAGGGACAAGGCTCTCATATGACTTCTCCATTGGGCTCACCTGATAACATTGTACAAGCCGAGCAGCAGGGGATAAAAGCCAATTCGAATTCGGATCTCACATTCGAGGAAGTGAGAGCATTGGTATGCACAACCTTCCTCGGCGAGCCAAGTCAAGATATGGCTTCCTTCAAGCAATGGCTGCAGAATACACCTCAGGCGGCTTCAAAAATTACCGTGGAGGGCATGTTCCATGGGCCCCCGACAGTCCTCTTGATCTCAATGCCAATTGCAGTCTATAATGTGATCGCTGCTGATCGCACGTGTGGCTTATTGGGATACGTCAACTCCCACAACATGACAGCCGAGTATCAGCATCTCTTAGGCACAATTTCGCCGATTGGCAAGGCGGCAACCTCCAAGGAGTTGGAAGATGGCAAGATCCTTCTCGAGGCTCGTGAGGCTGCGGCCTCAACTCCTGTTATGATTCGACGTGAGCCTTCTCAACCCCTCAGGCAACAAGAATCCATGCAATCTATCCGTCAGGAGTCAATGAGGCAGGATCCAATGGCACTTGGCACCCCAAATGCGTTGCCCCAGGTGATGTATCAAGACCCAGGACCATCTGTTATTCCCGATCATAAGGACGATGTTGAGGATTCTGTCGAGATGCACGAGGCTGCGGAACAGCTCAAGGCACTTAGCCACGTTCGCCACCTCAGTCACGATCATGCGCCTAGCGAACGCAACAATTCACATATTCCTTCCGAAGACTCACCCGGAATAAGGAGTGGCAGAGAAGACTCTATATCGTCGCAGGACGGCGGAGATTCTGGTGCCGAAGACCATCTGTACAACTCGGAATACAACTCACCTGCCTCACGACCGAAAGCTCGCCGATCAATCCAGAAACAGGGGCCAAAACAAGATACACGGTGTTCACTCTGCAGTCATGCGCCATTTAAAGATTCCTCCTCCCTTCGCAAACACATCGCAGCTGCACACACGCGACCCTTCCCCTGCGCTTTCTCTTTCGCCGGTTGCACCAGCACCTTTGGTTCCAAGAACGAGTGGAAACGGCATATCGCCTCTCAGCACCTCTGTTTAACCTACTACCGCTGCTCATCTTGTCCACAAAGCACAGTCGAGGGCAAGGGCAACGAATTCAATCGCAAAGATCTCTTCACGCAGCACCTGCGCCGCATGCACGCACCCTTTGCGATCAAGAAAGCGATCGCGAAAGGCGACTCGAAGTTACAACTCGAGTGGGAAACGCACGTGAAGGAAATGCAGGCCAGCTGCCTAGTAATCAGGAGGCAACCTCCTCAACGAAGTGCTTGTCCCAAGCCAGATTGTAGTAATGTCTTTGAAGGCGCTGGCAGCTGGGACGATTGGACAGAGCACGTGGGAAGGCATATGGAGAAGGGCGAGGCGGGACAGCTGGGAGTAGATCGGTTGTTGGCGCGGTGGGCACTCGACGAGGGAATCATCGAACGCAAGGAGGATGGCGAGTACAGGCTCTGTGGCACGGAACGAGAAGGCGGCATGAGTGCCGGGTATTATAGTGATGGGAATGGCGGCGTGATGGCCGGGAAGAGAGAAGTGGACGATAGTGGGATGGGCAAGGAGGGGGATAGCATGCTCCTTGATGGCTGATACCCTGCCTGGCGCTTCACCAAGGCCATGGCAACAAATGAGGAGGAGGAGGAGGAGGAGGAGGAATGAAAGACGATCAACAACGATCGATCAGTCAGCGATGTCATATTTGTTCCATGTCGTGGCTTCTTCTCTCCCCCGGAGTTGGCGCGGTCCGTCTTTATTTGCCTTTCATTTGTGCAATGCGATGTCTCTTTTGTCTTCTGTAGGAGGAAGGGCTCATGTATATATTGTACATTCGTTGATTTTGCCAGATACCTCTACCTTCATGGTTTTAATCCGGCGGGTTGGATTCGCAGGTCCTCTGGCCAGCGGAAATCGTCTGGAGTAGGAAGAAACAAGAAGAAGAGAGAAAATGGGTTTATTTCTTTTACGAGTAGTTGAATGGAAATGGATAGGAAGAAAGATGTGGGGGAAGATATGAGATGAGTAGTAGTGAAATGAATGAATGGATGATTTGATTGATTGAATTTGTTGATATTTCATGATATGATGCATACCTACCTGTCTGCTTGCTTGATTCCTTGTTTACTTTGTTTTTTTTTCCTTGATGACGCTATCCATCGTTCTGGACTCTGATTTGAATTTTTGATTTGTATTTGTATTTTCCCCTCCTCCACTCCATACTTCGACTTCGTATTCCCTAATCCACCCACCCCCTTACCTCCCGTCCCCTCCCCTCCTCTCCCCTGCCCTCCCTTGCCCTCCTTACCCCCCATACCCCTGACCCCTTCCTTCCCTCCCTCCCGTCCCAGCAAAAAGAAATCCAAAAAAAGAAACCAAGCGGGTCCTTGTTCGTTCCGCTCCAGCGCACGCCCCTCCCCATCCCGAATTTCAAATACCTCTCCAAAACTTCGGGTATTTGAATTCCTTGGGAATTCCAGCACTCTGGTTCTGGAATTTTGAATTTGAGATGAGGTCTAGAACCTGGTTTGAGGTATTACTAGGATTGGTTAGATAGGGGCATCGACACTAAGTAAGGTGTTACTTACTTATTTGGGTATTTTACCTTATTCGTGAGATACGTAAGGCAAGGTAAGGTGATTTGAGTTTTGAAGAAGGGGATGGATGTTGCGATATGCAACAAAAAAATGATTCAGGGCTTAGAGTGAAAAAAGATTTGGAATACTATTTGGAAGTACGATGTGCAACAAAAGAGATACGTACCTACCTAAGGTACCGTTGTTTAGTTCGTAGCTAACTACCTGATTCAAGAAGTGGGGGTGGGGAGAGAGAAGGGGGGAGAGAGGATGGGGAGGGGGGAAGAGGAGAGTTAGGTGGAATAGGTAGGTAGCGTGCGGTATGATAATGATAATGATAATGATAATGATAACAAAATATCTATCTATCACCGTACGGTACAGTATAGTCAGTCTTCTTATAGCAAGCAAAATGAGGGGATGCGTATCATTGAGGTTGAATCTTTTCAGGCTATCTATATCTATACCTAGGTATGCGTCGTGATCATGAATGAGAGAGCTATTCTGCTTGCTTCTTTGTGTGATGCCCAAAAAACCCGCGATATCAGCATCGACTCTACCCTCTACCTTGTGTCTATCCCCGCATCCATCATCATCATCATCATCACCACATCCACCATCTGAAAAAATCTAGGTATCATAGCCGATGCTAGCGAGGCCCGAAGATGCACCCATGCATGCATGCTGCACGCCTTGATTTGATTCCAAATCGCCAACCCGCGGACTCCCCCCCCTTCCTCAGCGCCCCTCTCCACAGCCGAAGTTCGAGCCCAGGAACTGCTCGACGTGCTTGACGTTCTGCCGCGCCTCCTTGCCGCCCTCGATCTGGATCACCGCGCCAATGAGGTCGTGGTTGATAGCATCCGAGACCACCGAGTCGCCTTTGTAGGCCTCGTGCTCGGCCACGAACGTGCGGATCCACTTGGCTGCCGTCCACAAGCTGCCGTCGGCGCGCTTCTTGATCAGCTCGAGGTAGCTCGCGAGCTCGCACCGCGTCGTCACGTCTACGTTCATGCCATCCAGGTAGCTCTCCACCAGTGGGATCAGACCCGGGAAGTTGTTCCCTGTCTCCGGCTTCGAGCCGTTGATGATCTCGTCGACGCTCATGAGCGCATACTCGTCTTCGACCGGCCCGGTTGGGGTCGGAGGACGAGACGGCGCCGCCGGGGAGGCAGTTCCCGACCTGCTCCCTGAAGCCGAGTAAGGGCGCGGCGCACGAGCGGGAAAGGGATTCTTGCGGAACCAGAACTTTCGTTCCAGGACCGCGTCTCGGGCGTGGGCCGTTTCCATGTTCTCGTCGATGCGTTTGATGGGGATATAGAAGTTCAGGTCGAAAGAGAGGATGGCGCGGGTGATCAGCACAATGAAAACCGAGAAGGCCGCGTTCTCAAAATCCGTGATCTGGATCTCCATCGGTCTAAACTCGACCCTCCAGCCTATATCGTTCTTAGGTGGCGGGGGTTTGAAGCGGATATGTTGCCAGTTCGTCGACTGCAAGTTTTCAAAATGGTCCGTGGCTTCCAAATCCAGAGTCTGCAAGTCCTCGGAAAAGATGACTATCGGGTCACGGATAAACAAGTGGGCGAAATGCGTTGCGAGCAATGAGTCCATGCCTCCATCCATGAGTTGCTGTTTCACGTCCGGATCGAATATGAGATCCGGGTCGAGGTATTCCTTCCGTAGGCGGGGGTCTTCGGAAATATAGGTACTGTTGGGCGCATAACGGGATTTAGGAATTCGCCAGCGGGAGGTTTGTAGTGGCTGTTTTTGAGGGTTAGAATAGGTTGAGGCCAGAAGTGGGCAAGACATACCTTCTCTCCAAGTTCTTCTGGCGTGCGGTCGTCGACTGCGGCGCTGATTTGATTCCATCGCACATCGGTATCAGCCAGGAAGCCTTTGTAGATAGGGGTAGCAGCAGTTAGTGCTAGAAGAATCGGTCCTAACGGACTCAACTGATCATACATCCTTCTCCCCTCCGTGATATTCTTTGCTTGGAACGTGATCTGTAAACAGCAGCTGCCCATCCCGAAAGCCATGGCATCCATGTGTATATAGTTTTCAGGGGCAGCCCCGTTACGGACATCATCGTCCTCGGGCCACTTATGGAGATCATAGTTTACTGTAGGATCCTTCCAAGGCCAGGGAGTGTTCACATCTTTGAATACCGGGACGTTGACTTGGACCTTTCGGCCTCGTCGTGCTCGGATATTTGCTGCTAATGTGGGAAAACGAATATGAGGATTGGCTATCTCATCGGGTACGAACTGTGAGCGCAGTTTCTCTCCAGATGGGGGGAAGTAGGGGGTGGTGAAAGTGCCGGGGGACCCTAATCGTGGGTATGTTGTTAAAGTGATGGGGTATTCTTCGGGGTTCATATGATCTTTGGCAATCTTCCGTCTGAAAGCCGTCAGATGTGGTACTCGATGTAAATAGGGGTACGTACCTTAACCTCATGTTTGGTTCGACATCAAGGAGATCCTTGAAGCCAATTCCCCATGGCTTTCCGGGTGTCGCCTCTAGCATGAACCGACCAAACTCTGGGTGGAAAATGGGTAATGTGTTGCGCCTTTATAACGTCAGCTGAATCCCCCCTCCGAGACAAAAGACGCACTCTGAGGCATTGATATCCTGAAGTGCAGGCACAACACCGCCATGGGAGCACAATTTCTCATCCTCCGCCAACGCGATCAGAATATCCGCCTGTCTCAAGCTCAGTGTAACCTTCTCATCATCGTCTTTATATGTCACGACCAGATATTCGATCTATCCCAGTCAGCATCTCGCCCTCCAAAGTTCGCACGAAACCAACCTCATCCCCCCAGAGCAGGGCGTCCCTCTCTTTCCCTTTCGCTTTGTTCCAGATAGCCAGCAATTGCTTCACACCCCATTCCCTAACCTGCCCCGCCTTCTCCTTCGCCTCTGGCCAATCAAGAGGGGTGCCTAATGCTCTGCCAGAGCAAAACCCATCAGCCTCGTGCCCGCGATTGGGATACGCAGATGTTTCCCAGGCAGGGAAACAGAAAACTCACAAAAGCCCCATCTTCGCACTCTTTTCCACGCGTCAATCCCAGCGCTCTCTCTCTCTCTCTCTCGTCCCTCTTCACGCGATACACAGTATTGGGGTCGAGGACGGACTATCGGGATCCGCAGATCTCGAAGCGCAGACGGCCGCGAGCTCTCTCACTCTCTCTCTCTCTGTCTCTCGACGAGCCCTCACCGAAGGACAATGAATGGCCTTTTTGTTTGTCTCCGGGCGAAACCCCCGCTAGGTCAACAATCCCCTACCCGCGAGCCCTTCAGGCTTCTTCACGACGCGCAGCAGGAGAACCCCCACCCGGGCACTCAGCGGGCCATACTATGCTCAGGCTCAGGTCCAGGTCAGGGCAAGAGGCACGACGGAAACGAAAAGCACGAATCACGAATCACGAATCAGGGCAGAGTCGGGGACCGCAAAGCACGTAATCAGGTCGCGCGTTCACTGGATGTTCGCTGGCGGTTGCCCCCGCATGCGCAGGACTGGGACAGAAGGCTGAGAGAAGCAATCATGAAGCCGGCGGGGAGAATAGGAATATTATTACTTCATAGTGAAGGTGGGGTTGGGCGCCTCTTTTTTTTCGCGCTGCTTACAAAACATATTTGATCCGGCTGCTGGAGAAAACTCGGTGTCATTTTCGGATTAACGTTTACCCGGGATATATATGTGTAGCTCAGCTGTTGGAGGTGGTTAAGCTGTTGGAGCTGGCGAAGCTGGTTGAAGCTCTGTTGAAGGTGGTTGAAGCTGGTTGAAGCGGTTGAAGCTGTTGGAAGCTGTTGAAGCCCTTGAAGCTATTCGAAGCCATCAAGTCATTGAAAGCTCCTATATATCCTCTCTCTCATCTCTTCAACCTGCCTACCTTATCTCCCTTAATCTTCAGTCACATCCCATATACCAACATCCCAAAAAGCACACCCCCAACCCCCAGCTTCCCACCTCTTTTCCGAATATCTCCAACTGCAGCATCGCATCCAAACCTAGGGTTAGTAAGGTAATGTAATGCACAATGCACCCCTCTCCCTCCCTCTCCCTGCCTCACAGCTCTCCTACGTACGTACCTAGCCTCCAACCTGCAGAACGCAGTACATAGCACAGTACAGTACAGTAGCTTCTTTCACACCACCGCCCCCCCTGGTCCCCGCTCAAAATGCTTCCAGAAAAAAGTGAGAGAGAGAGAGAGAGGGGGGGTATCAGCCCCGCCTGAGAACTGACAGAAACCATCCCTCCCTCCCCTACCCTCCGCGAGCAAGGTAATCCTGACCTGTCAAACCCCCTCTATCACCGCGATATACTCCAGTGTCCCCCCTCCCTTCTGAAATGCGAAGAATGCGACTAGGCGGCGCATCTATCCGCGGGGACCGTGGGCCGCTGCGGGTCGGGAAGGGAGGGAGGGGAGGGGACCCCGTTTCTGAAACTTGACAGTTGGACATGTACCTAGTCTGACAGGTAAGATACCAGGTAGGGTAGGGTGACATGATGGCAGCAGCTGTGGAATGAATGAATGATCTTTTGAGGGGATGGGGATAAGAAGGTTCAACAACTAATTGTCTGGGATAAGGTACGCTTTCGAGGCTTTGTTAACTCGGGTTGTAGATCTAGATATCACCTGTGGTCAACCAGCCAGCAAAGTCATGTGTATATATATCACGTGGACCAACACCACGTCTTCATCATCTTCTTCACTCCTCACTCCTCCTCACGCCTCCAACCCTCCAACCCTTCAATCCATCCATCCCCAACAAACAGGTCCGTCCTAAAAAGCCATTAACATAGTATCAGAAGTAAAGAAAAGAAAAAAATTCCCCCCAACAAACCAACCAACCTCCCCCCTCCCTTCCCTCCCTCCCTCCAATCGTCCACCGTTACATCTTCTCCCCTCGAATCCCCTCCTCCTCCCCCCCCCTCCTCCTCCCTCCGTACGTACACCCACATCAAACATCAAACCCTCCCCTCCTCCTCAGGCAGGCACCCGTCCAAACACACACACTCCAAACACTCCAAAACTTCCGAAACACTTCCTGGTGCTGCGCGCAGAGGAACACAAGATCGGGTGCAATCTACTCAGAGTCCGATCTTGTGGTACGTAAGGTACTTGGTGTAATGAGGTGAGATAAGGTACGACGAGATAGGGTGGGGGATGTTGTGGTGGGGAGAGGAAGGGGGGAGGGGGTTCGGTAAGGTAGTTTTTCTCTGTTGGCCTTTTTTGGGGTATTACTGGGTTTGGGGTTTGATTTTTTTTTTTTTTTGCTTACTTGGGGAATTGGAAAGGAGAGAGGAGAGGCAGATAGGTAGGCAGGGAGGGAGGGTTGTTTGAGTGAGTGTGATATAAGTTACAATGGGAACGAAGGAAGGGTGATCCCTCCTCTTACCCAGCCTCATGGAAAGAGAGATGGAAGTAGGGAAGGATAGGATACTGTGTAATTATATACAACAGAGAAGACGAGTCGAGATCCCTATTATATAAATCCATCCGTTCATTCATCATTCATCATTCGTTCATCATCCGCCAATTAGTGTAATTGTTCATCATGGGATATATTCCTTGTTCCTTTCCATTTCCTCTCCTCTCTCCTACCATACCCAGAGTTACCGATCGACCTCTTCTCAGGAAGAGGCTGTCTGGCTATCTGGGCGGTACATGGAAGTAGTAACTGTTTATCGTAGCCTATGTATATCAACAACCATCTTTCATCTTTCATCCCAATCATCTTCATTTGTGCTCCCCGCTTTCGCCGCCCGTCGGGAGGATGGTGAAAGCCAGGAGACCAAGGATCTCAACGCGGTTGGATTTCACCCCTCCTCGACTCCCCCTTATCTCATCTCATCGCTCTCCCCTCCTTCTATTTCCTACGCCCCGATCCCCTTCCCAAACCCTATCCTTAGCCCAGACCGTGCGCACTAGAACGAACTCCACCCATGCAGAAGATCCAAAAGATATTTTCAGAGGAACCGAAGATAAAAAGGCCCTATTTTCTGTCTCGTGCCGCCAGACCTCCAAAAAAAAGGAGAAAGAAAGAAAGGAACAACTGTCCCAGGGGCAGAACCCTTCCGAATCGCAGGATATGCCTCCCCGCCATCGATGCTGGAACACAAAAAAAAAATCACACGTGCTTGCTTCTTTTCGCTTCCTACCATGCCTCGCGCGATCCCCTAGAGGGGCTTCCAGAAAAATCTACGCCCTACCTAGAAGGCGGATATCATGTCGCTAACTGCATACAGCGTTTCCATGCTTGAGTAAAAGTCAAAAAGATCTACGCCCGAGACGGGCCATTGCTGTGCTGCTGATGCATTTTGCTCCTCGGCCCTACTTCTCCGGAGGCCGCAAACGTCGTAAGAACAGAGGATCATATTATATGGTATACAGAGAATTCGTCATCTTGAAAATGGGTCGATGATATTGGTTATCTTGGCGAGGCACGGTCATCCAGGGACTTCGGTCTCACGGACGTGGCCGACCCCGAGCCTTGCGATTGTCTCATCGTGTTTTTTCTCGTCAATTTGGCGTAGTGAAGACCGCACGCGTTGCAGAGCGTTCGCGCCCCGTCTGGTCCCCGTCGCCACTCCGGGGTTTCATCACGATTGCAGCTGTGACATCGACCTGGCGGCGCGGCTCTCTATTTACAGATTAGAAGGCCATCTTGGCGTGGAAAGGACAGCCTCACGTACCCCACGACGCTTCTTTCCCTCAGATACAGTGAAGCTCTGGCTTTGCCTTTCTTCACTGTACATGCTCATGTCGTCGTCATATTCTCCAGCTACCTTTACGCCTTGATCACGCATTCGTTGGTCGGCTATGACATGCTCCTGCTCGAGAATCGTGTCTTGCACCCGCCGGACTGCGAGTGCTATCTTCTCTGAATGTTCGAGCATCTCCTTGCAGGATTCTAGACTTGGCATCCTATCAGGCATCACTCCCACCTGACGGGGTTGTTCTTGTGCAATGGTGTGGTAGAGTCGGGACCAGTCGCGAAGAGCAATGCTAGAGGTGTTGATCTGTACTTATGTATTAGCAACTGTACTAGAAATACGAGGGATTGGCTTGCCTGTGCTAGATTGTTTTCGAAGTCCCACACATCCAAGTGCCTCTTCAGCCCTACTCTGAATGCAGGAGCACCGTCTTCTTTCCCTCCTTTCCACCGTTCCATCTGCTCCCTTCCATCGTGCGATGTGTATCGCTGTTGGCTGTACGCTTGAGGGTGTCCAGAAGGCATCTGAGGCCCCGGGCCAAACGTGTATGAAGCCGGTGGAGGTTGAGGTGGAGGAGGATGGTGAGTGTATCCGTTCGCCATGCGTTCTGGTGCTCGGGAATCTTGCTCATACCGTGACGGTTCGAACCGAGGAGGGGCATATGGATTTGGTGGGGGGCCAGGCGCGGGTTGTAATGATGTTATGGTGCTATGCCTTGCGTTTTCGGGGAACGAGGCAGGTATCGAGTCAGAACGTCCAAATGTAACCGTTTGAGGGTGGATGGGTTGTGGCGGAGATCCATGTCTTGGTTGTGTTGGTGCCAGTTGCGGTTGGTAAGGAGGGTGTTCGGGTGGATATGTTCGAGGGACGGACTGGGTTGTATTTTGCGGATAGGATACCTGGTGCTGAGAGGGAGGCAGAGGAGCGGAGACTGGTGAGGCGTATGGGTTTGGTTTCATTCCGCTACTTAGGGCTTCTTGGATCGACGGCAGAGATTGCCGATGTTGCTGTTGCTGTTGTTGAGGGCCGGTTTGAATTGGAGGCGGCGGTGCCGTCTTGTTATCTGATGTCCGCCGTGATCCTGGAGGGGATATAAGTCCAGATACGCGATGAGAGGAGGGAGCAGGCCAACCTGAAGCGTAGGGATATGGAGGACCATGGTTCGTGTATATCGTGGTGGGGCTGACAAGAGCAGTGGCCGCCGCCATGTTTGCTGGTGAGGGATATGCTCGGTCGGTATTGAAACGGTCGATTTGGTCGCGATTGATAATAGATGATATGCCACTAAGAGAAGATGTAAGCTTTCTGCGCCGACGGCGGACGGCCTAACCCATAGCAGGCCATGGCATGGCATGTACGCACCTTTGTCTGCTGGTATCCAGCGCTTCCATGACAAGATCTGAAGCAATCTTCCTTCAGATTAGATGTTCGGGAAGCATGCGTGGGCGGCAGACAATATCGTGCTCTTCCCGTCCCGATGTGTGTACCCGTTACACCTGTTCACCGAAGCATCTGCAGCTTCCCCTCCGCTCGAGTATGGCCTTTTGCTTGTGCGAGGTACGAGCCGTGGTTGCGACGCTGGGAAGTCCTGGAACGCAAGTGGTGTTTGGTTATGAGGGACAGCGGACTGGGGTCTGAGAGGAGAGAAGGGTCTTGTAGTCGCACCCGGCTTCCACCTGGGCGGATGGAGTTGGAACGAGGAGGGAGACCCAGGGGTTATTATACCAAGATGGGGTGAGACTGGGGGGGGTGGTTGCTGAAGTTCTGGGGTCGGTTCCTCCCGGCCGATTGATTGATCTCGGCTGCCAATGGACGAACACTCGGAGGGGGGGGGACTCGACGGGGCGATGGGTGCTCGCGAGAGAGGCTTTGCCGCGCACTTCACCAGACTATGTTTCGTTGCATGAAGAATTGCACGAGAGAGGTGTTGGGTTCCAGATCAGAGGGGTGGATGTCTTGGACGGGAAAGGTACCGTTCGGTCGGTGGCCGCGTCCACAAGCGATCCGTCTCGTACGGGGCCGGGCCTCTGGTACTCGGGCGGGGGACTAGAGAGCAAAGGCGGAAGATGGGAGGGAGAAGAGGGAGCGGGACAGAGGATATCCAGGTGAGAAAAACACGGGATGGTGAAGAGGAAGATTCAGAAGATTCAGTCGAAGTAGTAAAGTTGTTGTAGACTTGTAGGAGTCTGCTAGCTTGGCGCCTTGGAGCCTTGGAGCCTTGGAAGTTGGGGCCTTGGAGTTGGAGAGCGATGCGATGCGTTGCGTTGCGTTTGATTCCGCACGTCGATTAGGGGTGAAAAGCGATTCAGCGACGAACTGCCAAAATGATGCACAGGACAAAGCAGTTGCACAGACTGAACTGCAACTGTACAGTACAGTGCAGTGGCAGCGAGAGACAAGGCAAAGCAGGGCAAACCAAGGCAAGTCGCGACCAGACAGACAATCCGAGGAGAATGTGCAAATCCAGGGCTGAAGTCAAGAAACTCAGGAGAACAAGACAGACAAGACAGACAAGACCATGGACCCACGAACCCATCCGAAGTGCTGTGTGTAAGTAAGTAAATAGTCTCTCCGACTCCCTATCCCCTCAACGCACGACCTTATTCCTGAGCGTCGAGTCGTCGCCCAGAAGGAACCACCGCACTACTCCTCATCGAGGGCAACCAGAGCGACGACGACGGGGGGGGCGTCCGGGCGGTGCTAGGTAAGACTGCTCCAGTGCTCCTTAGTCCTGCCAACGCTGCTACTGTAAATGCAACTGCTAACCTGCTACTTGTTCATCAGTGCCCACTGGCCCACTGCTAACGGACCTGGGGACCGGGGGGGCGCCTACGCCTTGCACGGCCTGGACGAGGATGTTCTGGTTGATGGGAGCATGCTAGAGCCCTAGAGGCTAGAGCCCTAGACTGCGCGCGCCGTCCGTTGGGACTTGGGAGACCCTCGCTGCGAGGCCCGACTAAGCATGGGCGCGCCTTCGATTATTTCCGATCTGTGATTCAGTCTGCGATCTGAGAGCGCCCAGCCGTGCCAAGCGAGGCAAGACAAGTACGGAGTAGTGCTGCTGGACTATCTATTCCTTGGGAAGTTGGGAGAGTCGGGACTGAGGCCTGGGCCGGGTTCATTATCACTTGGGACTGTCATTGGCGCAGGCCGGTTTGGGGGGGGGG